TTGTTATTTTGTTTCGTTAATCGGATAAATTCCGAATTATAATATACGTTTTTGGATCTTTATTATAAGGAGCCGATCGTAATGTATGTATTTGGATTTTTTTGGATTTTTTGCGGTGTTTTTTTTGTAATGTGCGTATTTGGATTGTAGTCGTTAGGATTCGATTGTAGTGCACTTTTTGGAATCGAATTATAGTGGTTCGATGATAATATATATTATTAGATTTCGACCGTTAGAATTGCCTCGCATTATAATTCTTTGGAATTGCATCGCTAGACGTGGCCCGCAATGGACGTCTTTGGGCAATGCGCGTCGACTAGATAAATTGCTAGATAGAATGTTGCAAAAAGATATGCTAAAGAGCATACCAAATTATGGATTTATAAATTGTTAGATACATTGCCAAATAGAATGCAAGAACATATGGCAGATAGAATGTTAGAAGATATGCTAAATAGAATGATAGATAGTATGACAGACAAAATGCTAGATAATATGCTAGACAATATATTAAATAATATGGCAAATAGATTGCCACATAGAATGGCAATCAACATGCAAGATAATATGCTATAGATTGCCACATTAAATGGCAGATTAAACGGCAGATAATATATTAAATAATTTGCCAAATAGAATGTAAGAAGATATACCAAATAAGTACGGTGATTATTTACAGCAAGATAATTTCCTATTTATTAGGAAAAGATTATTAAATTTTATATTAGTTACCTTCTCCTTCTCCTCCTTCTTTTCCTCCTCGCCGGGCCTTAACCACGACCATTTACGCCCAATATTCCCTACCGGACCTCTACCACGACTATCCACGCCCAGTGTTCCCTGCCGGACCTCATGTCTGTCCAAGAGCCATTTCCTTGAGATGCAAAAGCATACATTGGCAGCAGCGATACGCCGTTGGATTATATCATGATCGAAAGCACGATAGCTCAAGACGACACCTAGATAATCGGTCTTCCCAACTAATGGCAGGTTTAGAGCAATATCTGGCAGATTCAACCTGGGTCCTTCTTTTGATTTTGTCGTCCATCTTTTCAAAAATGCCTGCGTGGAATTTCTTAGAAGGCGTATGACGGTTACACCCTTGGTCAAATTCACTCTAAAGTGATAGGCCTTGAACGTGGACAGGACAAATGCCAAATCATGGAGTGCCTTATACCCCATGGACATGTTATGGATGATCCATCTCAAGTGGATGTCATCGGCATAGATGATGATGCGAGAAATAATCCAAGACATATCGTGATGGGCTAAAAAATCACGAAATACGAGATACATACTCAGGGGTCCACAGCATGGGGGCGTCTTTGGACCCCTGCATGATTCCCCGCGATGCGATGAAACGTCCAATGAGCTCCTTATATGGAATGCAATATTCATATTTGTGAAGCCATGAATGCACCAACAAGGGGAGATTGGAATCTAAATCATACAGAGCAAGGGCCCGGATGACCAATTGGTGGTCGATAGCATCGAAAGCTTTCTCAAGATCAAGTGACACCTGAATCCATCCACAAAATCCATTGGCTTATGAATTTCTGTGGTATTTCTGACACAGAGACTTGACGGCCCTCCGTTTTTTGGGAAGATCAACAAGCAGTCCTTAGTGCTGCGATTGGGGAGGTAAGCATACAGTGGCACCGATTGAAGCCTTGGAAATGTTATATGCATAACAAGGGAGCAGTGTATGCCAGTCATGACCTTATTTATTGGGTGTTGAAGGCAAATGGGACGAAGTGCAGCGGGAGTATTAGGGAGTTTGTTGGGTTTATTCAACAAATGAAGCCAACCGGTGGACCATCTGGTCGGAGGAACTCCGTGCTGCGAAACCCAAGCATGATGGATGGCAGGATAGACCACAGCTGCCAGGTCTGGAGCAAAATATTTCCAAACGACTGCTGGGAATCCGTCTGGAGCCAGTGCCTTTGTGATCGGCAGGCGAAAGAAGAAGTCAATGCATTGGATTGCATGTCGAATGCCGCATCTCCAAACAGATTATTGAAATGGGACACCAATTATCGAAGTTCTTGGTGCGGCATCAGGGGTGCCCCTTGTTCATCATAGTTCTTGAATGGCTGTTTGGGCGCAATTTACGAATGTTGCGATACCAATCATGCATCCGGTTGGTAAGTGCATTGGTGACATTGCTTCTGAGGAAATTATCGAATTTGTTTTTCTTCTTTTGTCTGCCATATTGACGTATCTGCCTATGAAGGCGTGTAAACACGGTGCTATTGTGCCAGCTTTGAAACATGATCTTAACCGAGATAATACACATCAATCTCATGTAATGTCGAGCATGCCACATGCATGCGGTGAGAGAACGAAAATGGACATCGGGTGTGTGCAATGATTTGAAGCCTGGAAAATAGACAATACACAGCTTTCGGATGGCGATTTCCATGGAGAGGCAAGTCTGAAGGGAATCCTAATTGCAATTTGTAGTATATCTGAAGATACAATTGCAGATCGTATCGTCAAATTCCTGCCATCGAGGAGTGGAATTGAGCATCTCCTGGCGGTCAATGGGTTTGTGGGTACATGATGGTTATCGAACGGCATACCATTTGGGAAGATATAGGAGCAAAGGCCGATGCTAAGAACCCTGATGGAGATCAATGCGCCTGATGGAGATCAATGCGCTCGAATTTGCAATCTACAACAGCCTATTGGTGTTTCCATCGAAGTTGTATTTTTCTAAGAAACATAAAATCGGTCCTAGATGTGTGGTGCCCATGAACGAATCTGGGGATATATTTTTGATGAGAATGAATAGCCACCAAGGCCTAGTCAACAATAAGCTGCTGGAAATCATTTTATCGGTTTGGAGGGCTTTATAAAACCGAGGATCATAACTTCCGACATTAAGTGCGACTAGCTATAAGGGACAATTAAAATCACCTGTAACGACAAATATATAATGTGCTATATGGCCTATCCCAACCGATGCCACAGGTCCTACCTTTCGCGAAGCAAGGCTGTCACCGATTTGGTGTTATTCCAAACTATAGATCCGACTAAATATTAATCTCAAACGAATAGGCCAACAGAGATGGCCTAAGCAATTTCCATCGAACCATCAAAAGGAAATTAATGGATGTATCATATAAATAAATGCAATGCCAATCATTCGTGGTCCATTAGTCATTTATTTATCATCCTATTCCTAAATTAATCGGACGTCTTTATTTCTACCAATACACCAAGAAAACCACTTATAATAGGCCGCGAAACATATTCCAATTAAAATCTATCAATATCTCCTTACAATAAATATAAAGAAGAAATATAACCCATATAAAATATTCCAATTTCAAGAAAATACGAATACGAAATAAGACGTTTATTAACCAAAATATACGACTCTTATAGGTGGTGTGATCTTCAAATAATGTCCTTTTATATGCCCTATTAAAAAAAAAAACCTCTTAATCAATACCGCTCAATTTTCATTCGCCTTTATACAAGCAACAAAAAATACATATAAAAAAATTATCCTTCTATTTATTATCCAATGGGGGATAAAAATATTCCTAATGCCAAATGTATCGAATATAACTAAAAAATCTATAGTGTCCAATATAACCCCCGAATTAATAATCGAAATTACCAATTTCATCAATACAAAAATTCAATTTACAATCAAAATATCATTATAATATTTTCAAGATATCATATTTTTCGTTATTTTCTAATATTCAATCCATCAATATATATATAATTTATGTATATAATTAATCCATTTAATATTTATATGTCATTATTATTTTATATTATTCTATATAAATATTATATTCATATATAATATTTTATATATATATTTATATATTTTTATATATTATATCTAAATATTTAATTCATCGATTCCTATTTATAAATTATTTTTATATTTTAAAATACATAGATATATATATATATATATTTCAAAGATTTAATTTTATTATCAATATTATGTTACATCTTTCAAGAAAGGCGCATGGCCTGCATTGTGCGCAAGATTTGAATAATCATCCAGGACATATCATTCAATTTTATTGCCTTCATTTCATTGCAAAAAAGGGAAAATCTTGCCCAAGATCCATAAAGTTGAACACTGTGGTTTCCTTACCGAGTGATGCGATGAACGGGCAGCGGACCTCTTCCAGCTCCACTTCAGCTCCTGGGCGGAGCGCTTGGTGTTTTTCTGCGCACTGGTGGAACGCACGTCCGGACGGGCAAATCCTATTGTTTTGATGATTTTGGGGAACAACCGTCCACCACCAGAATCGCCGTTCCATCAGGATTGCAACGATGTTAAGTGCGCTTTGGGGTATCCCAAGTCAAATCTGTGTCTTGCAAGCGCAGAAGGACTTGTCAACTTGTCAACGTAACTGCTGGATTTGTGGAACTTGGATGGTAAATCTCGCGAGTAGAATGGAGTTTGCCAAATTTTGTCGGTTGGGGATGTTAAGGTTGACACTGAATGTAGTCCAAGTCTGAGCCTGTTGCAAAGTGATGTAGTGACCAACACCTTTCGTTTGATTGTATGCACCTCCGTACACTGTGGAACATCTCAAAGCATGGCCACCTCCACGGCCAAAGACTATTGCTTTGCATAGTCTGGGAGGCGGTGCCGAGACATCTTTCTTGATCGACTTCATCCTGTTTCACAAAGTCATACAAAGTCAGCGTCTGTGACCATTGGCTGTTCCTTTCGAAGGACGACTCTTGCAGGTTGGACAGGAACTGTCTTGCCGACACCGACTCCTTCCAGGCTGACCCGTGAGACACGTCGGAATTTTCAGGTCTTTCATTGCCTCAGGCTGATCGAGTGCCATCACTTGAGGAGAAAACAGCCACAGAAGGTTGCTTTTATTCTATTCGGTTGGCAACATGTCCGAAACGACACACGCCTTCCGGAATCATTCCGATTCGTGTCGATCGATCCCTCCATTGCAGTCAGCCTTGCCAGAATCAGTCTCCCTGAATATCACTGAATTGCATCAGATCCAGTCAATCCGAACGCCACGCCACGCCGCTGAAGGGCCAACGTACTGAACGGCTCGTCCGTTCTGGTAGACCGAGTCGCGCCCGAGCCGGGCCTGGAACGGCTTCCGACTTCGGACGGGCCGTTGAGGTGCAGCCCAGCTGCCAGTGACCGTATATAGGACCCGTCACCTGGGGTACCGAACTGGGATAGCCTAGATATCGGGTTCTGCACCTCTGTTGGGCTTTGTGGCCGCTGGCGAACGAGGTTCGCCGGAGCGCCGGTCTCCGCCTCGAGGGAACCGGCCCTCGTTACGACGTATGCAGTGCTTTGGTCAAGCTGCAAGCGATCCAAAGCCACGGCATACCGGGGATGGGAGTACCCTATCCTACCTGCCAGATTTTTGTGACCCTTATTGCACGTCTATTGCTGCGAGGCTCGCGAATGGATTGGTCCATGCTTGCGTACGAAGACCGCAAAAGGGCCAGGGGGCGGAACCAAAAACGAACCAATTCAGCCACCTGCTTCCAGTGGATTGCGTGCGGCCACAGATTGGAACACAGCTTCCGGCTCGAACCCCCCTACTGCGATGCCTGGCGGGCAAGTGGCAGCACTGGAACCCCGCCAGGGAGAGCCTGAGCACTGTCGAGGCATCGAGAGAAACGGGAGGCGGAGGCGCGGGAACGCTAGAAACCACTCACCAGGGGCCCCATTGGTTCATTGGTTGGTTGGTTGGCTGGTTTGTGTGTGCGTGTGTGAAAACCTTGTTTTTTCATGGCTTTGCGGGCCGCTGAGGGTCTTTGATGGACACCGAAACAAAAAAACACAATCAAATCACCATACAAACAAAAAATAACATCTTTGGCGGGAATCCTGCGGGGTCACCAACGGCTCCGTTGATGCCGGAAGTCAATCTGCTTGTAAAATCGCACACCGCACTGTCCACCGGTGTCTTGTTGAGTGGAATTCGGTCACTGCCCAGTTACCCCCAAGGACGGTTCAGTCGCTTCAAGCACGTTTCTCCTGGGTAGGAAGATGGTAGCATCGTGTTCGGACCATGTTGTCATATGACCATGTCTCCCCATGAACATGAGCTCTAGAAGCAGCGCGAGCAAACCGAACAGCGAACCAAACAGCACCACCAGACCAGTACCATCATCCAAGAGATGCTTGTCGAGGATCGAGACCTGAAAATGAAGCAGGGGCCAGCCAAGGACCCCCGTAATTCTTAGCAGCTTCCTTTAATTTGCACGTGCTATGATTCCTTCGCAACACATCGCCGTAACTGCATTCAAAACTATGAGACTGTTGTAGGTATTACAGGCTCCTGCGCTGTAATTCACTGAAATCAAACCTCATGGCGGTACAGTGACACTAGCACGTTCTTTTGCGCACAAAGACAAACATATATTAACAACAGGTTGACAAGTACCATAGATCCCTATGCTTCCAGTTCTGCCTATGGCCAACACCGACTTGCTTCGTTCCCACCATTCCCAAACACCCACACCTGAACATATTTCTGGCCCAACCAAATCCCTGGAATTTCTTACAACTTGCTCCATCCACCGACCGTCACACCCCTGGAACCTGCCGCGCTGTCAGGCGTCCAAAACCCCGCCTTGCACCGTGGCTGGAGAGAGTTCGCCGACCCGCCTGGAGAGAGAAAACCGGAAGCGGTTTGGAGCGAAAAAAAACAAAGTTTTTGGCCAGTGAGCCTGACAAAAGATGAGCTTTCAGATGCTTGCGCCTTGTTTTTTCAGATGCTTTTGCGGCATCTGGAAGTCCAGGTTGCCTTTTTTGGGCAATTCCAGGTGTTAGAGTTGAGAGGACCAGATCCTGAAAGACTCGTAATCAAGAGTCTACGTCTCTGCCTGAAAAACTGGGCATCTCAAAGCAATTCGAAGCCACACAAATATCAACAGGGCAATCCCTCCCCATACTGGTTCCAAGCTAATTCTTTTCAACTGGGGAGTCCCCCTTAGGCCAAACCACCCCAAATGGTGGTTTCAAGGGCTGCAAGTCGCCTGTGAGGGCTGCAAGTCGCCTCGGACCGGCAGTCCGAGCCTTCCTCCGCCTGGACCGAGGAGGGGTGGACCCGACTTGACGTCGGATGGCTGGTACGTAAAACATGTTTCTGAAAGCGATACTGGCTACAACTGACAGGAAATGTTTCGCATATGTTTCGAGCAAAACATTCCTATAGAGTTTTGGCCATTTTGAAATCCGGGGATGGGCAACTAAAAACGCTGACTTCAGAAAACAAATAGACAGCTACGACTACGATATGCGTTGTTGATGTGAACTTGTTTCCTTGCAATCACTCTATGGTTTTGCAGAAATGGCAAGCATGTCTACGATCAAAATATTACCAAAACGTCCGCAATCCGGAAGTGGTAAAATTTGCGGGTGAATCTGACAAGGCTTTTTCCAACAACATACAGGATTGTCAACTTCCCCCTGGAAACTTTCAGTTGATTGATTTCCACCAGCTTGGACCAATTCATCGACGACATGCAAATGCTTCAACCAGTGAACACAGCTGAACAGTGACAAGTGTGTTTGCATAACCACAACTCCAACCGGGACATCTGCCAAGGCTGCCTGCGCCGCCTCTGCTTGCCCACCTGAGGACACTGGGCCAAGTGGGCATGAGTTGTCGCATTGACACCCTTGTCATGTGTCAAAGTGTTTGACCGTTTGGGGTCAAGTGTCGGCAGTCCAAGAATAAAACGCCGTGAGCAGAGTGCTTGCGTGGCAGCACTTGGGCTGGGCTCTTGCGGTTGGCTTCTGGTTCTCGCTGGGCCTGATGGGGCCTTTGATGGGTCACTCGAAAAGAACCTTCGGCTTGCCAACAGGGAATGTAGCCAGCGGCCGTGAAACTCCCGCAACAAAGCAATTGCAGGCGACAATGAAAACCAGTGAGTCTGGAGCATCTTACGCTACATCTACTCTCGGCTGTGGATGGCCGGCCCGTGACAAACACTCGCTCGACTCACTGGTGGTTCCTTGGTTGCAACGCGTGCTAGAAAACCTTGTTCCACTGAATCAAGTTCTTGTGCAGAGTCCCCTTAAGCAATCTGCTTGCTGTAGTGTTAGGATGGTTCGTCGCCCTTGCGCTTGCTACTCTCGCTGAAGACCTCAAGGCCCGAGCTCAGCGCCCAGTGCGTGTGGAGGTGGGCAGTAGATTTCGGCCTCCATTGCTTCCACGGCTTGCAGCTCCGGCATGCTAATCGGCCGTATTTCGATTCGGAATTTTGCGATGAATTTCGCTGATTCTGCGAAGGTGGTCACGGATCGCTGGCTAGCTTCATCAAAGACTTCACTCAGGTTGATTGGCTCATGGCGGTAATTGAGACACAGGACTGGTTGACGCATGGGCTTTCACTAGCATTTGACTTTCTAGGTTTTTAGTATGTTCTATGTACTGGTCCCCAAATAGATAGAAAACGGCTTTACCTTCTCAGTGGGGGCTCTACTTTTCTATCTATTTGGTGGTCTAAAATAGGCCAAGCGGTCCCACCCGGCGAACCTCCAGACCTGGGCCCGGGCACCCAGCATACGTCGTAGGTTCATATCAATTTCAAGCACACATGTTGAGTCTTGTGGCACATGGGGAAGAGGTAAGGATTTTGGGTGGCTGTCATACCTCAAGCTTTGTGCTTGACCACTTGATCGAGTCCCTATGATCCCTATATTGCTGTGTGATGCTGTGTGCGAAATCGTCGAGTTCTTACGACCCATCCAAGTTGTGCAATTCCATACAAACCTGCACATGGAGTTCTTACTCATCCAACGGTTGAAACCGGCACGGCAGTGCAGGTTTGTATGGAATTCGCTTCGCCGCAAAGGTCTCTGCGGCAAACAATAGGGGAGACCTTCAAAGACCTGGTTCAAGGACAAATAAATTCAAACGGACTAAAAGCGGTTGGAGGGCCCCAGTTCAACACAATGTTTGAACCGATTGCCAGGGACCCCGGCCACCCCCAGCACGCCCTGGAAAGCACCCACTGCCAACATCAAAGCGGTTTGCAAGGTCTGCTCTAAAGAATCTCGAGCTCTCTTTTCCTGCGCCTTTTCCACGGTATCTGCCGGCCAAGTGCCGAGCACGTTCTGCATGCATGCAGGTTCCGTGGACGGTGGACGTTCGCACTTCTGGCGAAAACCGGTTGGTTCGCACCGGATCCCCGACAGGTGTGGAAGTATACCATCATGATCATCCCACAACTGCCGAAGTCACATGTTTCTGCCTACTGTTGGAGAAACAACTCTTGCATCACGATCACATCGATCGTCAAAACACCGCATAATTCTATTTTCCCTATCCCCTGTGGTGGCTGCCTAGTGTTGAACTCTTCCTTCAACCGAAAAGCAGTTTTCCTCCACACCGGACAGTTGTATCCAAAACATGGGCTCCTCCTGTCTCGGCAACACATATATATCACCCCAAGATGTGGGCTGGTGATAGGAGGAAAAAGCATTCAAAACCACACCTGGTTTAGATTTTATACCTACATCTGGTCAACACCACATATATCTTCTCCTTTTGATTGGAGATTGAACACCATGCTAAACCAAAAGAATTGCAAAAGGGTCTAAGATGGTCTAAGACGGGTCGAGTTTTGTTACGTCTCTTAAACGGCACCGTTCGACATGTTTGTTCTTCCTCACACACCGACCGTGCACGCGGCGGGTCGTTTGATTCACTCTCAGAGCTTGGAGCTCCTTCTTTTGAAGCGTTCGATGTATGCTTTTCCCACCTCCTCGAGCAACAACAAAGGCAGTGCGAACGTATGCGACAGTCGAGCGGCTCAAAAGCATCGGTTCATTCAGCGAATCCACAAACAACAGATCCACAAATACTATCAGATACTGCTCCTAGTAGCGTCCTTGCTCCTAGTAGTACGGCCAGGAGCCCCTAGTAGCGTCCTTGTTCCTTGTCTTGGTCCCGTGGTTTTAGGTCAAAACCGGAATGGTGTCTCTTGCTTTTCTTCAGATGACATCTTATTCAACTGTGTGTCAGCACACACATCTTTCAAACGCTATCACGCCTGCTCGTTGGCTACTTGGTTTCTCTGGCTTCATGCAGTCTCTTAGCCACCACCACCACCAGCATACCCAACCCATGGTCCTGACTCTCTTTGTCAGCCACCATGTAGCTTTGAGCCAGATCTTCTCGGTCCAAAGTGGCCGTCAAACTCAGCTCCTCAAGACAGGCTGACGGGCACGGGTGGCCACATGTCAAGAGCGGTACCGTATTGACCAACTGAGAAACAAGGATACTACCCCAAGTGGTACTGTAGTATCCCGTAGTATGATATCTGCAAAGTAAATCGCACGACATTCAGTCTTGTCTTGTTTCGCAACGTGACATATTCCACGTCTGCAGTGTGTGTGTGGTGCCCTGGTGCTGTCATGTGGACAAGAATCCCAGACACTCCATGTGTGGCAGATTCACCTGGCACTGCCGCCCAAACAGGGGGGCCCTTGACGGACCTAGCAGGGAGGTCGGTCCATCGGTTGAACCGGGGTGAAAGGAGGGACCCACCATTTGGAGCTCGGGGGCCAAAAGGGGTCCATCGTGGGTATCAATTGGGTCTATCTGATGTCATCCAGGGCCCGTTTTGGATGTGGCCTGTGGCCGGAGGTGGCAGGCCTTGTCCAAAAAGTCATGATGTGCTTGTTGACGGGTCCTGTTACAGGTAAGGTTCGGACAGACCCAAGGTATAAATATGTCAGTCCCATGGATCGTGGGACAGGGAAGCTGCAAACGGCCACGACTGATCCTTTCATAAAAGAATGGCGCCCACACACCACAAACCTGACACTTCAACCCCCTGGACGCTCAATGAAAAGACTTCGATCCTGTGACTATCTCTGGTGCCTTCGATCGGCTGACAGGGCCTGTTTCAGGGCCATAGCAAAAAAAGGGTGGAAGTCGTACGTAGCGCCGGCACCCAGCTAGTAACAAGTGCATCGCTACTGTACGTGGCTTCTTATGACTAGTAGTAGGGCGCCCTTGTTCCTAGTAGCGACGCACTTGGCACAATGGATCCAGGGGTCACATCCTAAATCCTCATCTGCCTTTTTTCCTGCCGAGTTGTTGCGTGGAATAAAAAGGAACCCGACACCTCCGTGGTCTTTCCCGACACCGGGGATGAGTGTGTTTAATCCGTACTTCATGGAAAGGAAGTAAAGCTTCTGGTAGGACACATCCATCAACCTTGGTCACATACCGGCCAGGGCAGCGAGTTCACTCCAAGACCTTCACCGAAAAACGCCTCGCCTGGGAGTTGTTCAGGAGTGACTTGGTCAACCGCAAGCCCTTGGGCGAAAGCCTGGTCAGGGCCAGGTCTTTGGCAAACCAACATCACAGGTCGACGTGTGCGGTCAGTAGTTGTCAAGCAGAATGACGGTCTGACATGTATTTTGGGATCCCCAATGCACCCCATGCATCTTCATTGGAGATAGACAACTCAAGCTTGAAATTCAATGTTGACCAAGACATGAGGGTCCGACCGCGCTGTGTTTTTGGCAACATGTCGCCTCCGAGAATTCTCGGGGGATCTAATAATTATATCTTCCAAATCTGAGCTGGTTGGTGCTTTCAACTCGCTTGAAAAATAGTTGTCACCCAAACGCTCCAAACAGCCCTTGGTCCATCAAAACCAAAAGGATTGGTTCGGGCCCGGACCCCTCCAAAGGATTCGGGTACGGTCCCGGTCCCTGAACGCAGGGGGTCAAACGGGTTGCTTCTGGGCAGTTGTCTTTCCATCCTCCTCCGCGGAGGAGAACCGACTCACCCAGTGAGTTGGTCTTTTCTCGCAGTCGACACCAACCACAGGAGACCCGACCATTGAACCACCCGACCATTGACCACTCCAAATCCGAACCGGAGAGGTTGCGACAAAGAAACAGAAGAGCCATCGACGAGAGGTTGCTCTACAAATCACCGTGTTGGAGTGGTCTACCTTGATTGGTGGAGGGTTGGCATGCTTTGTTTTTTCCCTTTGCTAGATGGTGTAGATTGTCTTGGGACACCAAATATAGCATAAAGAGTCTGGGCACGTCGATATTTGAGGAGGATACAGTCAGTGACATGCCAAAAAACATCTGTATAGGAAAACCATCCACCTGACATCTGCAGGAAACTATCATAAAGCTACTGGTAACAAAGGGCATCGCTACTAGGAGCAAGGACGCTACTAGTAGCTCCTGGCCCTTACTACTAGTAACAAGAAGCTACGAGTAACAAAAGGATCGCAGGTGGCACCATGGCACCCCTTTACAAGTGGTATGGCATCCACTGACACTCCGACCACTCAGCAAATGTACCAAGCCTCAGTTCAAGGCACGGACCAAAGGACCCCTGTTGGCCCCTGTTAGACGACGACTCTGCACCTTCCCTTCCTTCCAAACGCGAACACCGAGAAGCGCCAAAAGCTCTTTCGCGTGCTTCAGGCAGCAATTGGCCAACTGGGCTTGATCCACCACCTGCCGCAAAGCCAAAACACCCAGCGCATGGCCGACAGTGGCCATCATTGGTGGTTCCTACAATTGAGAGGATCTCCAATATCACCTGCGATGGTGTCTTCCACTATTTACAGAAGCTATTTCATGCAGGGGAAACTCACAGTGTAACTTCAAGCGTGGCATTACTACCTTCCCAAAGAAAAACATGAAACAAAGGGCCCCAGACTATAGCCTATATAGCCTCCTCTCTGAGTTCATGGGGATGTTCAATAGCTGCTTTTCTTGGTTGAGACAATTTGACTAATCATGTGAACGCCGCCGGAACCTGAACATGCTGGTGGCCTGCCAAAGCCAAACATAGAAGCGTCGGAGTAGACTATGAGCCTCCCAAACAAATCATATAGAAATCATATAACCGTTTGACAAAGAACATCGGCTTTGATATGTGCATATATGTGCCAATCTTTAACCTGGTGTTGCGATAGTAGTGCAGAATTTCTTGAACCAGGTTAATGATACCAGGTTGTTTCTTTCACACAAAGTAGGGCATCATGCACTCAAAATCTTCGAACCAAACGACCAACGTGCAGGCTGCCAACGACCAAGCGATCTTCGACACCACCCCCGGCGAGACAGGCAACGAGCCGCGCCCTCGCGCGAGAGATGAGTCTCGCCTCGTTCAGCAGCCCCCACTGCTCTGCCTGGAGAGGGACTTCCATTCAGAAGATCCACACCCGGGAAGAGACCACATGGAACCTGATGGTATGCACCTGACATGAAGATGATTTTCCTCTACAGTCCGACGTGGTTTTCAGCTTCCATGTGAATTTCGCATTGTGTGGGAATATAATCTGAACAAAACGCCTCCACTTCCGCAAACTGCACTGTAACTGGGCAAGTGTACTGAAGCACTGGCACGAGCACTTAAAGCATATATATAGGCATTGATACAAGAACCACAAGTTGTTGACGTTTCATACCACAACTTGTTGATGCTTCATTCAAATCTCATGAAACAAAATCATTGGGCATGGTTTTGAAAAAAGACTATCCCACCATCGATGGTTGCCTGTGAGCCCGTTCCATGAACAAGAACCTGGGAATTCCATCGGACATCAGGAATGGATGAGGATTGCCCACAGCTTGCAGGTCATGCCAGCGTCAGCAACAGTCGATTGCGAACAAAAACTCATCCTCTGGTTTTGGACAATTAAGTAGCAGTGAGACCTACATTTGTATGCTACCTGATTCACAAAGGGTTCAAGGTTACTTGATGCTCCACGTTGCGTGGCGTGTTTGCTTGATTTGATCCATCTTCGCATCTTTTAAACCATTCTGAGTCTCATGTTCTCCAACCTGGCCCCTTCAAGATAGCATCGAGCATGGCAAATGGCACAGGTGCTTGTGAATGACACATTTACAAATCCACTTGCAGAATTGTCCTTTCTCCCCTCCCAAGACTGCTTAGATACGCGCTTCCCCAAAACAACACACGCGGCGTGACTCACTCTCTTCCTCTTCGCCTTTCACACATCCACTCACCCGCCTTGCTGGCGCTAATGGGCTTCCCTGTCAATAGGGCTTCGGCAGCACGTCCGCGCCCCACGATGCGAGGGAGGAAGTAGCTGGTACCTTCGGGATGGGGTTCCGTCTTCGAACGGCGTGCGTCGAGATCAGGACCACATCTGAAGCCAGTTCACGTCCATCAAATGAGGAGCCGAAACTCGAGAAAAACCCGTCGCTTTTGACCGGTGAAGATGTATACAGGTTGAAATGGTGTGACATGGTGTGACCAATTCCCAGCAATCTGCAAAGGAAAAGCACAAAAGACTCTACATTACATGTCACGTGGTGGTCGTCTTTCTGATCAACTACTTGGAAGTTCTGGAACCAAGGTGTGCTTTTCATGACAAGCTAACTTAAGTAATAGGGCCATGTTGGGTTGCAGTCAAATGTCTATATACTTTGATGAATGCTGTATGATGATGTAGGTAAAGGATATGGGATTGATATCCTTTAGAACCAACATCCTGAGTACCCTACGATCCCCTTGCAAGGTAAGGGTTTTGTGCAGAACCGGTAGTGGGCCGTCTGCTGGAAGCATAATGAGGCGTACTTCCTGGTTCTTCCAAGTGACCCTTTATCCTCTGGTTTGAGATCACTTAGGCCTGCAAAAGTTCACTCTGAAGAAGCTGGTTGGCTTCTTGTGTGTCCCCATTGTTCAAAGTTGAACAGCCGTTGATGTTGCCCCAACAACGAGAAGCAAGTGGTGGGCATGCAGCTTTGGTGGAAACTCTTCGTTGCTGGAGTTTTGCAACATCTAGAACCTATATAACCTTGCATGAGAGAGGAGCCTTTCTGCATCCACTGGGTTTGTAGATATAGAGATAACATGAGATAACTATATATATATATATTTAGACCCAGTGGCCCCAAGCCCTAAAAGCAGCTGTTGGTCCCAAAGAGATCAAATCTCTGAAGTAAACTCTTGGATCGCTCTCATTTCAATGATATTGAATTGACATCCGTTTTGTTTCGATGAGTGTCCTGAAATCATCCTCCGCAAAGTATTTGGGTCTTGTCAAGAATCCACACCTCGCGCTTCCCTCCTGTCCCTCCCTTGTCACAGCCTGCTGGAAAGCGCATCCTGCCCCCATCTTAATCCGAGACACCCAACTCACCACCACCCAGGCCCAGCTTCACAAAAGCAGCCACGAAGCTCGCCTCGCGCGCACCGATGCGCAAATCGGCCGCCAGCGCCAGCGACAGGCCGGCGCCCACAGCAGCGCCGTTCACACCGCACACGACGGGCTGCGGCAGGTCGCGAAGCTTCTTGATGAGGCCGCTGAAAGCATGTTGCCTTGGGGTAGGTGGTGTTTAGGGGCTGCACGTTTTCTGATTTTTGTTTGATACTGACTTGGGGTAGTAGGTGTTCTTTTCGAGGCTGGTTCTGCTTGATGTACAAACACTGTGTGAGAAAAGGGGTAAAAGCATGAGGACAAATGAGGGTAGGTTGGCACTTAATGTTCACCAATTATTTCGTGTGTTTGCACACCAAGTAGGAAGAGTGGGTAACAAATACACCTATCCTATCCCAATATTCAACTAACTATGGTTAAAAACCACATGCATCATCATCTAAGACATCTATCTCGCGAGGGCCACACAGTTAGTCGAGAAGAATGAGTCAGCAGTTCGTCGAGAAGAAGCCTTGAAGGAGTGCAGGGATCTATAGATTCTTCTGCTTGAAGGGATGTCAACCAAAACAAGCACTTCTCTTGGAATCGCAGAAAAAAACAACAACTCCTCTCCACGATCTCACCCACCCCTGATGGGCCGGGCCATGCCGGGCCCTTCCTCCAAGTAGCAGGAAAGGCGTATTGGCCTGAAGAAGGGGGTCAGAGCTGGAGCAACTCCGGCGGGTCATGCTGTCATTGTGGAGACTCCAAGGATTGGAGGTGAATGCGCGAAGTCGCGGTGCCGACACACTTTCAAAACCCGATTGGTCGATGCTCGAACTTTCGCACACCACTTTCTGGCTAACTATTGTAAAGGGTGACCGACCACTGACCACATGTGAACCGCATTAGCCCGTGACTGCATCAACTCTGCCAATCCGCCCAATTTCGTCCATTCCCGGACACCGGACGTGACGTCTGGTCCAGTCAGAGGGCCAGGGACGCAAGCTGGGGGGAGGGCATATAATATATACCAGTCCTATAGTGTCTGGGGGTCAACAACAAGTCATAATAAGATAAGCCTTGATATAAGTTGCAACAAGTCATAAGATACCCATCATGGGGGGGTAACAGCAAGTCATGGTCTACAAGTCAAACCATTAGCTGTCAAACCAGTCAACCTTAAGTGACTTCGATACTCCGGCGCCGATACTTCGGTGCCTTCGACATGGTTTGGTCTTTGAAGTCATAGCCCGAGCAAAAGGCGTTCCCCTCACCGCGCAAGATCAGCACGCGAAGGGGCGGATGGTCTCGCTCACCTGGTGCACGGTCTCGGTGTAGCAGAACATACCAGGACCATCGGTCGGACCACCATTCGGTGGTCATGTAGGCTCTTGAGGTACATCGTAGTGCACCAGCGCCGACTTGAACAAGCCTCTTCGTGGTTCTTTCATCAAGAGTTTACATTATCCTCAGACTGGCACCCCAAATATCCCCAAATCCATATAAAATCGGGGCTTGCACCACTCCAAAAAGCCTGGTGTTGAAGATGTCAATTTACTCTTTTTGGCTCATGGTTTGGAGGCCTATACAGGTAAAGTAGGAAGCTCTAGAAAACAAAACAATATTTAGAAAAATCACTAGGAATAACAATGAACAAACTTGCGTCATAATTTCATGGTGGTGTAGCAGCACCTACAACTGTCTATGAGTTTACATGCAGTTGCTGTCCAACTGGTCAAAGCTTATTATATATGTCTCTTCAAAAAGACGGATGAGAGGTCGAGCTCATAGACTGCTTACACAACTGCTGCGAAGTGAACATGTCTCCCACCTTTGCATAGAGCGAGCCCGACTACACAGGTCTAGCGATATCGTCCGATGGTTCAAACAAGCTGTCAGATTGTAAATCACGCGTGACCTCTCCTAAGATGCACATGCTGGATGGTCGAAACTATATGCTCTGATGACTCTGATGCTCAAAAAGGACACTTCTGGTGCCCATGACACTCCACCCAAACAACATGTGGCTTGAGGAGCACCGCTCTCCGCACCCTATTGGGGGCTCTGAATGGAAAAAGTGCAGTGATTGTCAAAACTGTAAAGATTGCCACACAATACTATATTACGATCAATATTGTAAAGAGTGTTCCAAGCTCATCTGATTCCAACTCTTCATTTTTTTGAAACACAAACAAATTACATCACAATACCTGCAAAACATTGCAAAGCATGGTTCGTAAACCACGCATTCAGAAGGTTCATGCAACCCTCCAGAATGCATGTCATGACTTCTATATACAGCTGAGTAGCTGTAAGGAAACTGCAGGACATCCAAAATTTGGTGCAGCTCCCGCACGAACTTGGCGCTCATGGAGTTCCTCGCCTGACATAAAGAAATCAAGGGCGATCGGTCTGGGGCCGGTGACGATGGCGATCCGATGATCGGCCATTCCCACAACCCGCCAATCACTCATGAAGGTCACTATCCCCAAGAGAAGTCGAAACAAACCCTAAACCAAAAGGAGCTCGTCTCTACACGTCCCCCACTCGGCGCCGGATGTTGCAAGCTGTGGGATGTTGCGGATCTCCGAAAATTCCGACCTCGGCGCGGTTCAAGACCACTTCCAGGATCCCTTCATGTGGTCGGCTCACACGGAAGCAGCTGTACCTCAGTCGCTGCATCGCTGCGTCGGTTCAATGGCGACCGACGTCGGCTTTCGCCGCATCACGTGTGGTCTGGTGTGGTCGGGAACTAACGGGGCTCTCCATGGCACAGAATGGAGTTTTCCATATTTGAATGTCATTTTCTGAATGGAACCCAGCGTGGGGGATCACCCAAAGTCTAACATGCTCATTGAAAACACACGTGTCACACTACCACCCACTGGTGCAGGAGCTTTTGCTTCAACAGTAAGTTGCCCCAGTGCTCCTTAACAAGAAGGTTTCACGGTCACTTTAGCGAGACTTTGGATCGTGAAACAGTGTGAGAGCTAGGAGCTTAATGGATTCAGCGTGGTAGTGTATTTGTATCATTTTGTATCCAGGAGATATGCTCCAAGACGACCACTTGCACACACACACACACATACACACTTGGAGCCACAAGTAACGGTGGTCCATCACTGAAGCCGGAGTGTTTCACACACTCCTTTTGCCCTTGGGCCACTGTGGCCTCCTTGGCAGAGTAAGGCAAGATTTCAAAGTATAATATTAAAGATCAGCTCAGCACACTCATACTGAAAAAGCACACATCAAGAGAACAAAAGACCAGCAAAATCTGGTACGACAAAGTTTGCTTGCAGCTTCAGGCTTCACCAATTACTCAATACGGTGTTGATACAACAATCAAATTCCAGCAGTTTGCTTGCTACTCCTATAAAGTGTCCCATGCTCAAATAAAAATAAACACTATACATGCAGGACAGCCCTTCTATCAGAGTCTTGAAAAAGAACACACAAACATACATAGACCTCTATACCGTCTATACCAATATACTTCACGGTGGCAAAAGGTGAGTGAAGGTGTCCATGTTCTGCAACGCGTCGGCTACGACCCGCCGAATGCCACCATCTCCCCTTTCGCCACCATAAAACTGCTTCCCAGCCACTGACCTTCTCGAATGCCGTCGGCTGCAGTGAAGCCCGCCTCCTCCACATCTCCCAAGGGACCCCAGCCCATTGGCGGTCCGCGGGTCCCTCTCAGACGAAGACGCGGTGCTCTCGACGTTTGGAGGCAACGTTTGTGATCTGTACCCAAAGAGCATGCAAGCGGTTTAAATCATGTGGCAGGTGGATAATTAAGGGGTGTTGGTGTTGGTGTTGTTGTTGGTGTTGGTGTTGTTGTTGTTGTTGTTTTACTTTTTGTCCATGTTTTTTTTACTGTTGGTTTGTGTGTTCTGAGTGCTTTCATCTGTTGCATGGTTGCGTTTATCTGGCAATGTCTAGCCTATTTCGGTGTCTTTCTTCATTGCTTTGTTTGTGACTCAGATTCAATTGAGTTGTAAGCAGGTTGCAAATGGTTGCAGTATGTAGCAGTTTAATTTTGAATGTATGCGATGAGCGGGAACTCCACACGTTTCTTTCCTTGCAAGCTGCGGTCAAAGCATGGCGCTCTCGCTCAGGCCTACAAAGAACAAACTTGTCTGGTCGTCGAGTCCTCCACCCCGCACCACTGAGGAAAATACACGAGTCCCTCCCCCGATCTTTATGGCGGAATGAGTATCTCGATGGTAATTATATGTAATTATTGAGTTGCAGAGGAGAGCAAGACGAAACACACATGAACAGTACTCATGCAGGATCACGTCCACCTTCCTTGGGCCTGGGGCATATATACTTGTGATTCCTGCCAGCCCACGAATCAATCTCTCAAAGGCTATCCGTCAAGACCAGCACATAGCGGCCAGCACAGGTTCCCTTATCTCTTCGGTGAATGTGTGTGAATGTGAGGGGTACCATTGACCTCAGGACCCCTCCCCTACCTGGGATCTTGGATTTGCTTCAGGAACCGGAAAGCACATCTTCCCCCCCCTCAGGGGATCCATTTCCCCATCTCGAACAAATCAAACACCTGATCCGCAACACCAGGAGATCCTTGCTGAAGCAATTGCAACAAACATCCTCTTTTCATCCACCGGAACCGAGCAGATCAGCTCGGTCCGCGCCACAACACCGATGCTCGGGCCCCCCACGATCGATGCTCTCCGTCAAGTGTTGCCTCGCGAGCTCCATAGACCGCATGGAGACATCGGAACTGGCTAAGAAACAAACATCGAGACATGAGCTTTGCGATAGAAGCCATGTCTCATGGATAGTCTGGAGACTGGCCATAAGAACAGGGTCAGCTTTGCTAGATAAGCTCTATATAGCGACATCTCTATGCCATCTGCACAAATTCGGGGTGCTACTTAAGCAAATCGTCATGGTCTTTGAGAGTGCATCGCATCAATCAAAAAGTCAACAAAACGATCTGGTGACCACGCATAGTATACAGTTGGGGAAGACTGGATGCTCCAAACTCTAACAGCTGGCATCATCTTCTTTATGTCAATTGGTGAAACATGTTCAACTCTATAGCAATCGCAACTCTATCTTGGAGGAAGAGTCGACAGGCCAAGCTGTGTCGACCCTGCTCGTCCGAGACTTGTGAGTTTCCATCGACTGTGCTGCGACAGTGCGTCGACTGATGGAGGGTCCATTTGCCAGGGCGTTTAGGCCAGAGTCTCGTTTCATGATCACTGTAAGGGTTTTGGCTGGCTGTTTTACAGGACGCCAACCTCTGGTGCCGCACAAACATGTGGATTTCACATGTTTCAGATATTCCACTTCAACATTGGATTTCCTTAAGGAACCTGGACAAAAAATAAACATGTTTGACACATTCCGAAGGGGATTGAACCGCAAAATGACCAAATCACCTGAGTCGCCGATTCCACTTCAATCTTCGGATGTTTTGGGGGCGTCCCACAACTCTCGAATCCCGGTGCAACAGGGCGACTTCACCATTTTTGGTGGTTAGGCCCCCTAAACCCACCCCAACCACCGAACCGAAACGGAGGTGGTTGCAGCCCTACACAGAAAAAAAACACACATCGCCTAACTAAGGCTCCCACAACTCTTGAATCTGCTTGATGGAGCTGCACTGAGGCCGTTGTCGCGCGTGGGCTCGCTGCTTGGGAGGGGTGCTGGAAAAAAGAGGACACCGAGCCGGACAAACAGGCGACGAATGATTTTAGGGCCGCCAACCCCGAGTTTAAAGCCTAGTGATCTCCAAATGAATGTGAGTTGGAGTGAAGCTACGTTCCCATCCCAACACTCACACCGACTTAGTGAGGTTGCAACATCTCCATGGGACTAGCATATCTACCTACATTCACCCCTTTTCAACCACCCCAACTGATCGGCATATATGGCATACGTGAAGTGTCTGGGGTAGGTTCCTTTCACCAGAAATTGGACCCAGTCACGTAAAGTACGGAGTGCGGACTCCATGGATCGTTCGTCGGGGTGGTTTCTTCCACTCACGCTCACGAGGACGAGCTCCACCACCCAGGCCCTCCATGTGACTGGACCAACCTCTCGATGAAAACCGGACGTCCACTGTCGGGCTATCTACAAAAGGGTGTACACTGGTGTTGCTCTTGAACACATGGTACTGGCTACGAGACCAAGTTCTTGAGAACACAACGCAGCATTTGTGGTGTACACCGAGTCCACCCGACAAGAACATCCACCAACCACCCAACAGGCTGGTCTTTTTCTGATCGAAGCACCGGGTCAAGTGATTTCGAGGGTCATTATGTGGTGTACATATATCCCAAAGGACTATCCCAAAGGATATATATATATATATATATACATTATTGTAATGAGATATTTCGATCAACTGTAAACTACTACAAACTAATCTGCCCTGCACTTAACAAAGTCCAAAAATTACTTCCCTTATTTTTGAAATGTTTAAATATCCCTATGAGATGTCTGGCTTGAACCCCCCAAACGTAGGGCACCCCGTGAAGTCACAGCTTTCTGTCTTTAGGACCCGTTGTGATTCGGTAGGGCATGGAACAAGCATGTGCTCTTTAGTACCATCCGTACAAAATTACAGCAGCAGTGCTGCCATTGAATCTCTGTCTACACATTCAAGCAAGGATATGATTCTCTAGAACATGTGGAAAATCAAGTCTCTGACCCCTGTTTGGACTTTCGGCGGATGACATGGTTTTTTCTTGCTGGTCACCCTGATTGAAACTATTTATTTTCAAAATGAAGCTGCACTTAAGGAAATCAGTGCAGTAAGGGGAGGGCATGCCATACCCCCCCCTTAGGGAGGTCGGTAGCGCTACCGACCTCAGTAAGCCCATGGCTCTCAATCAATGGGGCATGGTTTTTGCATTGATTTAAGCATCCCTGAATTATTTTCACCTGCACTTAAGGAAATCACATGGAGGCTTACTGCAGTCGGTAGCGCTACCGACTGCACTAAGGGGAGGGCATACCAAGCCCTGTCACTACTGAGGTGATAGTGATTTCCTTAAGTGTTCATTTAACAACCAGAAGTGAACTTTACGGCTACAGGACCGTTTGGCTGCATGACAGATCTCCGGTTTGGTTGCATGAGGGTCTCCTTTGCTTTACCCTTGTCCCATGGGCAGGTTAACCCACCTTTTCTATTCGGGTTTTAATGTTATTTATTGATTTTATTGGATTCATCATTGAGTACTTCCGAGCTGCGGTCCCAGCAGCAATTATTATTAAGTGCAGGAATGAAATTTTGACATCTTTAAGGGCGCCCCAGTAATCTCAATAATCCCTCGGTGTGGGTATGGGTGAAAACCACTGGTGTGGTGGCCGTCGGGTTGTTTGTGGCTGCGGACCGAGACCCTACTTATTCCTACTTGGCCGCATCTCATGTGTCTGTTCGCTCGTGCCCGAAGCCACACCTGACCATTTTCTCATTGTTTTCAGCCTTCAGCGTCTGAATTATTGGTTTGGTATGGTTTGGTATAAATTAGACTACAGCTCATAATCAAAACACAACAGAACAAGTTCGTAGATTTGAACAGCTTGAAGCTGTCGTGCACCGTCCTCACAGTCCGTTTTCCATGCGTTCGCTGGATTCCGGGCGCTGGGTTCCGTCGGACTGCTGTCGACTTCGTCTCTCAGAAACTCTGCACAGCTTTTGGAGCATGTTCTTATGAGGTGGCGTGGCTGCAAAAAGTTCCTTCCAAGACTTGGTGGACATCATGTGTCTTCTGCCCCCAAACATATCACCCTAGTATCTCCTAGTTTCCAAACGAACGCACCGCTCAAAAAGAAGGTCATGATCCATCTCTAATTACCAATTCAACATAATTCAAACAAGCAACCAATGACCCGAACACCCCAATCCGAAGCTCTGGCTGCCAGGTGAACCAATTCCCCCCCACACCGATCGGCAAGACACCGCTGAGCGGTCGAAGGCGTCGTTGGCCCTCCTAAAGACAGCGGGCGAGACATGGTCGGGTCTAGGAAATGGAAGCCTTCAACAGCGGTCCGCGGTCCAAAGGGCCAGTTCACCTGGTAGGGAACCCCTGAAACACGTGGACGAATTCAACCAGACCGGCTTTTTTTTGCTGAGGACTCACAAACAACGTGGAGTTCACCTCCTGTTTGTAGAGGAACATGCCTTTTGTTACCAGTTGTATGACTCTCTTATGCTGGATGGTAGCAATCCCCACCAAAATATCCACTATATCCCTAGGTGGGTTTGGGGGGTCTAACCGCCTTCTGAGGATATGGTTGGAGCCCCAGGGTATATACATCATGAATTTGGGGTTCCCATGGTCGTGGCACACCCACGGATGTGGGGATGGACATCATGTCTCATGAGTGGCTCTATTGGTGTCAGGGTGACTGGTGGACGGAGTGGTCTGCTTAGCCGAATTGGTCTGAATAGGTGAGTCACTCCTGAGGAAGTGTGTCATGATCTATCCATAATTACTGTACCCTTCTTCTCTAGAAACCATGAGTAAAAGCATACTAAGCATACATGATCTGATCTCCGCTTGTATATATAATCATCCAGGAGCAAATAGAATCCGAAATTGGCAGAGTTTCCTTTTTGTTAACTGGGAGGTTTTGGACACGAAGACTAAATACGGGGATGAATATGGAAGAATGACCGGTCACATGGAAAACAATCAATCGCTAAAGTCCATATTCTATCTATGTTTATGTCACTGACTTATTTTTCCAACAACATAGGACCTTCTATCTACAGGATGATCCGATCTACAGAAAGCGAGTCAACATGGACATCCACACCGGTCGAGTCGAGTCGGTTTCGACGCCGCTGAGTCGAGGGTGTCAGACTCGAGTCGATCTACATGAGTCAAATCGACTCCGAACCGAACCGTTGCACCGGACGAGATGAGATGAGTCCCAACCGGACGAATTTGAAGAGAAGAGACGTGTCTTCTTCGTCTCTGGTTGGTCCGACCGGATCCGACCGGATCCGCCCTGGGAACACCGGGGCTTGGGGCTTGGCAGTGAGAGGACGTGTGACATGGGTCCAGGGCGTCCGGTCGGTCGCTGCGCCTGGTCAACTTTTCGAGCTCCAGCAAGGTCAAGGACACGATCTGCGGCGCATCACGGCGGTGGAGACTCAAAAGGCGGTGTGGGGATGAAAGAAGGGCGTGGGTGGGGGAGAGGATGGGATGGGCACGTGAGGGGTGACACTATTCAAAACCGAAGCGTTTAAGCTGAATAGATTGAACTTGTTGGGTGGTTGAACTGCTTGATGGTTGAATACGGTTGAATAGACCATCGTAGACCAAATGCTTGAGCCTATTCAGGTTTGTAGTTCACTTGGCGCAAAACAGGATTGCATTGCAAGCTCTGACCGCCCAAGCGAAGTGATTTTGTATCGCACAAACCTTCGGATCGTCCAAAGTTATGCCTTGGACAAACTGCTAGGTCGCTGGTTCCTGTCAATCCATGACTTGAATCCTGTCTTCACACACTGAGCTTCAGAGAACTCAAGGATCATGCAGCTTGTCGACATTTCTATCCATGAGAACCATCTCACTGAGAACCACGTCTACTTTGCGAAGACATATCGCCCCAAAAGCTCTGGTGGTGTTTGTCGGTCCAGCCGTGTTAGCGGAGTTTGCTGCTCGGGGGTTCAACCCGCTCCCTTTGTTTGGGTCATGGGGGTCATCGCTTTTTCCCTCACCTTTGGGATGGACCCAGATTGATACGCTGGTCAAAAGCTGGGACACACTGACACATCACCGTTGTATTGCCAAACAAGCTACTCAGGATGGCAATCTACCTGAATTCAAAATCATCAAGCATTTCAGGTACCATAGTTTCAGCATGTCTTGGCCATCAAAACAAAAAGCATAATCTCCCCCATCTGGTCCAAAATCCGTCTGTCCCTCCTAAAGTCCGTCACTCTCAGTGAAAACCCTTTTGCTCAACATAGACCGTTACTGCTCTGGTTTTGGTGGTGATGTTGTTCAGGAGACACTCCCTGAAATCATTTCTTACGTGGATGGCAGCTGCCCCTGGAATTGCGTTATCTACAAATAGGTGGTGCCCACTGTGGTGCAAGAACTCCACGTCCATGTTTTTTGTCGGACTCGGAGACTACGACTTGGTGGACAGAAGGGTTCTTCGCCGAAGCGGACAAGCTGGTTCACCACGTTGCGCCGACTTCCCGATCTGTGGGCCGAGAAAAGGCAGCAAGCATGTACCACGAAGCTGGACCAACTGGTTTTGTGCTCGTTCCCTCAGATACCTCCCTGAGATACCTTTGATGGCCTGCGGGTTCTTGATGAGCTCACTGTGGGCCCGCAAGGCCTGTACAAAAGACCTAGGAAGTCTTTTGATATCTCCACCGTATCCACCACAGAATACAGCCACCAAGGTGTCCTTTCTTCACTTCAATATGTTGGTTTACTGCCCAGAAGACCAGTAGACTTATGTTCCCTGTACATTGTGTAGTTTTTCCCCCTGTATATACATTGTGCAAAAATGCAGTACCTCAAAAGATTTGCGCACCTTTGACAGCTTGCAACCAGATTTGATTCTCCTGTTCTGCTGGCTGGAGTTCAACACAGACATCATCGCATCATGCGGACTCTCTTGCCTGATGGTGTCCATGCACCCCTGAAGGTCACGTTAAACACATAAAGAAACATCGCACCCTCCACACTTCTTCTCTTCCACTGCTCGTCTGAAACTCGACAGAGAGGCTATGCTGGCCTTCTTCAGCTGTGGGCAACTGCAAGCTGCCTGAGGCAGGTTGACCAGCAAATACCCAAGACAGCTTCGAGTTTGGACATGGAAAACAAAGAAAACCTGAGAAACAACTCTGCTCTGAGCACACCCAGGGTGTTTTTTTCTATAGAGAAAACAACCTTATTGTTCCTCTGTGTGCAGCGGTCTGGGGATCACCGACCTAGGAGCTGATTTGGCTCGAAGTGGTTTGCCGGTATTGATGTGACATGACCGCCAAGACCCGTGGTCTTTTGACTTCGGTGCCAGGCGTCCCCCACTTCCGTGGAAGAACTTGGGAGACCTAGATGTGGACAACTAAAGCTCCATGTCGAAAAAAATGCCCAATTCCTCAACTCACCAGAAACATTCTGAACTCCAAACTTCCTTTCGTGCGTTTCTTCGGCTTCGGCTTCTTCGTTCCGAAACCTGGCTTTCGGAAAAACCGAGCGTCCCGAACCTCGCCGTTGGTCTTTCCGTGAAGCATCTGCCCGTCCAAGCCTCAGAAGGCTGGGACTGGTGAGTGACCCAAAACAGTAGCATGACATGTCCGGCTGGAGTAGATTCGCCGATTAAACCATCGAACCAGGAAGGCCAACCTTTTTAACTTGAGTGACTTTGGAACATACGGACCAGCATGGACCAGCAGTGCACTCGGCCAAGTGCAACTACCACTTGGCGCAAAGAAAAGATCCAACAACCGCACACCCTGGGGGGAGAAAAGTCCCAAGCTTGAAACACCAAGTTAAAGGGTTGCGGGCCAAGTGGGAATGCCCGAAAGAACAAGTTCCCGCTGCTTGGAGAGAGGGCGCTGTTTGCCCTAAGTGCGAGCTGAGGGCCACTGCTGTGGTACAGGCAAGGCCCAATGAGTCGCCGAGGAAAAGGAGAGCTGGCGCAGGCGCAGGCCGAAGCTCACCGCTGAGGGGATAGAAGTGGAACGCATAGCAGGAGGCTCGAGTAACCCGACCTCGCACATGACGGACATTCAAAGCAAAGCACCAAAAGGCTTCGACCGCCCGATGTCCAAAGTCGGACCAAGCAAAAGCACGGCAGCTTAGCTTGGACCTTGTTCAATCTCTCCTGCTCATTCTCCGTGTGCTTACGAACCTTGGAAGTCGTAGAACCCTCCAAGGAAAAACAGACTTTAGGAGTGAAACGGTAGGCAGCAGACCAGTCAAACGGCACCATGTAGCCATCCTGATCAGCATACAAAGTCTGTCAACGGGCGATCAAATCTCCGGTGCTCAGCCCCGCCTTTCTGCAAGCAACTCTGAACTTCCATTCAGTCTGAAGCATTGCAGCGACAGCGCAGAGATGACTATCTGATAGGGCGCTACGAGCCTTCGGATCAAGAGAACCACCACCAGAAAACGCAAGATCAAGCATCCTGCCTTTCAGTTGCCGCCAAAGGGCACCTGAGCCAATGCCCGTCACAAAAACCATTATGACCTTCAGCGCTATGGTCCGGCCCTGTCTGACCACGAACTGGAAGACGAGATGAGCATTCCAAACGCGCCTAAAGAGACCCGAGCTATTGAAACATCTGTGCCAATCGCATCATCGTTGGGGCACAAGTCAATTTCAGTCCCTGCCTTCTTCACGCAGTGTTGGCTGGAGCACTAGAGGCACTGCTTGGACTGTATCTTTGAAAAGCCGAAGGGTGCGTCCTCCCACTCCCGGTCGCTGCAGCGACCACTGTGGTCCCCGTCATCTGCTTCTCCTTTCGAAGTGTTTCCAGGCAGCTTCGAAGTGTCTCGCCCGCAAAAGGGTCACCAAGCTCACAGGCAGCCTCTGTCTCTAGGCTTTCCAACTGCTGCCGGTTGGAGATGCAGTGACGGTCCGCCCCCCTCTTCCATGCCAACATCTGAAAATGCCTGTCGGGCTTTGAAACCCCGTGCCCAAACCCAAAAACACGTGCATGTCCAATTTAGTCTTCCCTGACGGTCTCCACATCGCGTCGACGCCGAGACCAATTCTGACCCTGCCCGACGCGAGGGTTTTGGATGTCTGGAACCGCTCTTGAGGCAGCTGATCTGGCTGCCCAGGGCATCACCAACACTGCTTCTTGCAAAGCCTTAAAGGTGCCCTCATGCAGGTCGCCCGGTGGACAAGGGGATTCACCGTCAGCTTGGCATCTTGTGGTTCCTCCTCTACTATACCCTTAGTTTTTGTCCAATGATCAATTCATGTCCGTTACACAACCAAATTCCACATCAACAAAACACAGCTATCAACACTTCATGATCAGCCATTGCCACAGAAAACCCATCAAACTCCAAAAACATGCGTCCACTTCCAACAACAAGTAACAAGAAGATCAAGAAGCTAGATACTAGAGCTCCTGGCCGTACTACTAGGAGCATAAAGGCTACGAACGGGGACCACCGTGACCGCACCTCATCCACCCCGCGAGCGAATAGCCGAGCTGCGGTGCAGCGTTTGCGCCAGGCTCTCCACCTGGAGGCGGAGCTCGGGGAGGCCGAGGTCAGGTCCCAGCAGTCGGTACCCTCTTCCAGGGTCCAGCGGAGTGGAGGTACTTGGAAGCTAGTTGGTCAAAAAAAACGATGTCTGAAATATTCTTGTGACATTTGATCTGGTGTCCAAATTGGTACAGGGAAAGGTTTATTCAGTTCTAAATGTATAGTCAAGAGTCAGAATTAGCATGTCACAGAAGGACTAAGAGGATTAGCAGTTCCAAATTGGGATGGCAAAGCAGTGAGTGGAGAGCCAATCGCCCCAACTCCCACTGCAGGAAGTGCTGGTTCTGTCTTCTTTGATCAGCATTGTGCAAGTGATAGGTGTAAAACCAGAAAGGCTAGCAGGAAAGCAAACCTCACAATTGCGACCGATACTTTTGGGGGGTCAACAATCTTCTGCTCTGGCACACTACAATATATCTCCAATGGAAACAAAAGCTATTCTTTCAGTACGCCTTCTCAGGCCCCTCTTCAATTGCCAAAAGCTGAAGCTCAGGGAGTTGCATGCACAACTACTCAAGACTCAGCACATGATGCCGCATGACTTTTCTTGTCCTGCTGTTGGCTTCAAGGTAGATCTACTGCTCCATGAAATTTCATGAACCTACGGCCCGAGGACTCACCATGTACCACCATCAAACATCTCAATCAACTGCAACGACCGGCGGGAACGCGCCGACGGGCGAGCGCCACCTGCGTGGAGAGCTCTTGGGATCGGCGCTCCATGTCGCTACGAAGCTCCATGAAAGAGTGTTCCAAGTAGAGCAGCCTCCGTGGTGGGATTCTTCCCACGGTTGGATGTGGACATGTCTCTGCAGAGGGGCAAGGGATGAGCAACATGAGCAATGGGAATAAGCCGGTTCTTTAGGCGAGTCGATGAGATGTTTTTGGCGGTGGTGTAGTGCCACCATTATTTCCCTATTAAACCAATTCCCTGATTTAGAGCAACCAATATCTCAAATACATGCATTCTCTCCACATCAGGCGATTGGGGGGCTCTAAGGGGAATCGGAATGAAGGACAAAAACTTTGAGAGCAACTATGTTCTCATTGCCCACAGTTTCCCGGTCTTAGTTCAGCAATCCCAGTTCAAAAAGACCTCTCATGACTGTTGAATACCTCTTGAGACCCCCAACTATCGGCCACATGTGGTTTCAAAATGCTTTAACTAGGAGACAGCCACCATCCCCCTCAAACCCTTTGCCTACTGTGCACATCTGCCGGCGGCCGTGACCACTGGACGTTCTGCCCCTGAGCGAGAGGGGGTTCAGCGTGATGGGGTGATGGGGAACAGCCGGTTGCAGTCCCGCTACACTCGGGGACATGGAAACAAATCGTTTGATTTTCGGTCATAGTCATAGACATAGACCAATATAAATTCAATAAACATCAGTTTTTGCAGTCTTCCAACTCTGCCGCATTTTGGTCTTGTTCATCCATAAAGATCCCAAAAATCCGACAAAGGCGGACTAAGTTGCTCAGTTGGAAGATTTCCTTTGTGCAGGAGCTTTGCAGGTCCAGCCCTCGAGGCATCGGCTGCACCGGTGCGTAGCTCCTACTACTTAAGGGTTTGCACCAAATGTCCAAATGTGTAAATTTGATATATCTTGTCCATCAAACATCTAAGCCACATCAAAAGGACTCAACATGCAATGATTTCTTGCATAGACCCTGTGATGGTGGTCCTGTCTCTTGTTGCTCCTCTGTCCACTCTTGGTGTTCACCTCGAGGAGCACATTGGTACACCCATTTTCCAGGCGCAATGAGATCTATGCGGATTTGGGAGCGAATTTCTGGGCACAAGTCAGGACTCCGACACATGCTCTCTCTTGAGCCTCTTAGCTGGCGCATGCTTAGCTGCAAGCTCCACCACATTTAAAAAATCCACCACATCCTGAAAGCCGTGTTTAGCTGCAAGCTCCACAGGAGTTTCTCCGTCCCGAGTCCTAGCATCGCGGGTAGCGCCAAACTCCACTAACAATTGGACGACGTCCAGGTAACCGCATCGAGCCGCCCAATGCAAAGAAGTCCAGCCGGCGACTGGGTCCACGACCCATGCATGATCACATGTCGCTCCAGCCTGCAGCAGCAAGTGCACCATTTCCAGGTGACGATTCACAGCCGCCTCATGCAAAGCAGTTCCACCGTGCGAGCAGGCTTGATTGCAAGAGGCCCCAGCCTCCAGCAACAATCGCACCAGTTCCAGGTCGCCAATTTTAGCTGCCAAATATAAAGCTGGTATGCCCTCTGCATCTGCTGTGTTGGAAGAGGCCGCAGCCTGCAGCAACAAGCGTACCACTTGCAAGTGGTCATGAGCGGCAGCACAGTGCAGAGGAGTTATGCCTTTATGATAACCTTCATAAGATGTGGCTCTATCACAAGAGGCCCCAGCCTCCAGCAATATGCCCACCACATCCACGTGGCCAGCTGCAGCTGCCCCATGCAACCCTGTATAGCCGTCTGTATTAGCTGTGTTGGGGTCCTGAGGCTGATGCAGCCTCCTTTCAACTTCTTCCAGGCGTCCTTCCTGACAAGCGTCAATAAATTCATCATCTCGTTCTTCGTCTGCTGGTAGGAATGCCAGCCTGACCATCTTCAGCACCAGTGGCGGGACAATCGCCACATCGTCACCAAGCTCCAGATGTTCTTCTGCTTGCAAGAGCCGCAGTCGAAACCTTGATCCAAGATCCCGAGACACAAGTTCCAGCTTCAGTGCTTTGATGGTGTTGCCCCGTTCTTCCACCAGAGCTTGGAACTCCTCGTCGCTGAAGACCACAGCATTTTCACCGGATGCTGCCGAAAGCAAACGCAGCGCCATCTATGTGACAGCTCCAGTAATGGAATTGGGCACGCACTTGTGATGCAGTCAAACAGGGGGATTACCTTTTGTGCGACAGCTTGTGGATCCTATCATATCCTATCACTATCCTCCACCCTCTATGTCAATTCTACTTATGGGCCATGGGTGGTTGGTAGTTGATTTGCGCCTAGAGTGCGTTTGGTGCCCAGTCTCTGCGCATCCATCTCTGGTCGTTCCCAAAGCTCCTTGTGAACGTCATGCGACGTGATGATCGAGCTGAAGAAGCACGTCGCACCCGAAATAATCATCGAAGTGGAGCTCACAATCCCCAGACATGACCCATGGGACTGCCATATATGCCGCCCACCACTCCAATTGATCGACAGTCCTATGGCAGTCCCATGGGTGGTGTCTGGGATCTGTTTGGTGTTTGAACGACAAACAGACACCCGAAACGGGGCAATGCCATCTACGTAGCCAGGATGATGAGGCCCGGGAGTGTCTTGTGTGCATGTTCGTCCCCGCTCTTTTAATAAAGCTCTGCCTCCAGCAGCGATCAACAAGAACAAAGGTGAGAGTACAAGACACACCCTTCAAGCAACCAGAACAAGAACAATTTTACTTGATGCAAAAGAGATCCCAAGGGTTCTCAGAACCATTTCATTGAAACTTGCTACTACCATCCCGAACTAAAACCTCCGGACCTATCCAGTACTTTATCCATCTTCGAAACACAAAACTCACCACTTCACCCCACACATCTTGGGTGACCGATTCAGGTGGAGAATAGGATGGAAAAACTAGATGGAAACTCAAAGAGTCCATTGATAGAAGGGCTCAAGAAAGGACCCAAAGCACTGCAAATACTGCAGTTGTTTGACGAGAACCGTCTCCCAAGCGATTCCAGGCTTTGTGGTACTGTCGGGTAGGTATTTATCGAAGCCCAACAGATCTGGGTCTGGCAACTGTGGCAAGCTACTGCTTTGTTCAGCATGGTCGAATGAACGCCGACCCTTGCTTTCTGTCAAACTCTGCCTTTACCTTCGACTCCTTCCTTGCCAAAGTTGTGCATATTTGCGCGCAGGAATCTCTGGAAGCGAAACCCAAAGCTGGCAGCGATCCTAGTGATCCTAGTGCCCCAATCCGGCAGCGATGTTTCTCTAGGCGCGATGCGGACTCGCCCGGTATCTCCGGCTTGGTCGCTCGTTTCGACGGAGCCCCGAGCCGCCAGGCCAAGTTCTCAGCGGAATTCGTGCTGGAGAGCCGGGGCCTGGAGAGGAGAGAGGTGGAAACGCAGCTGGCCATCCGAAATGACGGTTCAACCCACTTCATGCCCTGTAGAAGAAGCATGCGCATAATCACTGGCAAACACTCATACCATTCGCATGATCATGCATGATCATATGATTCTGTTGACGTATATAATTTATGTGTCCAACAAAACCATGTACCGATACCTAGCCACTTCCTCTCCGGCCTGGGCCGGCACGCCGCTGGATAGGGCGGCGCCATCCTGGGATAGGGCGCCGGAAGGACCGGTGCTGCCGGTCACGGCGTTGGTCCTATATGACATACGAGTAGTAGTAGCACCAAAAACAGGGGTTCGGACTGACCTTGCATGTAGATTCTGAGATTTCTTGGATTCTAAAATCTTAGAGATCGACATGATCTATTTGGGCAGAAGAGCAAAACACCATTGTCCATGCTGGGCGGAAGAGACCTCTTGCCAACCATATTGAAAAATAAATACCAAACACAAAAAACTTCCGATAACAAGCCCTTATGTCAAAAAACAGGTCCAAAACAAGTCAAAAAGCGAAACGAGTGTCAGTGTCAAACGAATCCTCACGATTGCAAAAACCACTCCAAATCCAAAGGAATCTCAAACGATCTCTCACACGATGTCGACCGGCCAACCGACACCAGGCCACTGCGTGGGCACCGGCGCCGTGGGCTCTGGATGGCTCAAGGTGGGAGCCGGAGCCTGGAGGGTGGAGTGCTGGAAATGCAGGTTTGCCGAAAACTTGCGGGATGAACAAGCTTAGCTCTTCGCATCTAGCTCTAGGATCGCCCCCAGCCGCCCTTTACGGCAGACTTAGGAATGACCTTTTCTGGGGAACTTGACAGCCCTATCATTATCACAGAATAACTATACATATTTTGTACATTTTGTCCACCCTGCTTACTCCACCCAGCAAGGACTCAACAAATGATGATGACTCAGCCCGCTAACTCATTCGGGTTCCCCAGAAATCAAGCGGCAAATCCTTCGCGCACCACCGATGCTCTGCTCGTCCGGACGCGTGTTGGTCGGAGATCCACCTCTTGGAGTTGAGTTAGACTGGGTAGGCCGAAAACTTGACAAGAAGACCCAAGAAGCACTGGGGTTGCGGCAAGTACTACGGGCTGAAACCTTCTTTGCGAAAAAGCGGTCGGAAATGAACACGGGGTGTCTATCGGAATCACTGACGTCGTGGAGCATGATGTATGGCGCTGGCACGAGAAAAACCCCCCGCGATGTAGCCACTGGCTACATTCATTGGCTACCCAATTCGTTGGGTAAAAAATGTAATAGCTCCACCTGCTTTACCAGCTATGTCCTCAAGGCAGTAAGGCTATTGTAAGGAAAGAAACACATCCGCTGCAGTGAGGACTCGTCTGGTCAGGACCGGTCCCCCCAAATCGACGCATGCGGCCTGTTGGATTCGCGGGGAGACACCGGAGACACCTCACGGCATGAGACGGCTCCCCTCCCGGGCAGGTGAAAAGAGGTGAAACATGGATATGCCACTGGTCCAGCAAAGTCTTGGTATATGTCCAGCTGCTCTTCCAGTATCTTACATAGAGTCATCTCCTAGTCTCCTACTGTATCTTCTCCACAGCGTTCTCCAAATCCCACCAAATGTTTTGGCCAACAGAGCCGCGGGTTCTGCTTCGCTACTTTCACGAAGCCGAGACTTGGCTAACATTCGTCATGGGGCGTTTTCATGCGGTCGCACAACTCCCATTTGGGATGAAGGTCTAGCAGCTTGCTATATGACTCCAACTACCCTCAGCTTTGAGACTGAGAATGCAAATGCAAACACTATTTTGATACCCATATAGAACGAAGCTATTTGACTCCTGTTTTGATGGAAACTGTTGGACCATATTTCGGATGCCAACATGAAGAACCGAGTCAGACCGGTCTGAGGGCCTCGTCCGTGAAGCTCTGGCTGGTTGACGTCATAGGCCGCGCGTTTTTTGGACCGATTCTTAGAACTTAGAGGCAACCAAAGGCTGAAGAACTCTGAGTAGACTATCCCGGTCCCATAGGTCCCATACCCCATAGGTACCCCAGAGGTACGCCCATCAAGTCACTTAACCTCCGAGCTTCATGACATACCTGGAGACTGGCTGGTGATTGGACGGTTTTTTCCTGCGGTTTTAGTTGTTTGGTTCGCTTTGGAACCGCCGTTGAAGCCGATCCGACCGGCAAAAAAGGGGTGTGGGAATCACTCAGGGAATCCAGCCATCCAATAGCTTGCGCCACATCTCCTTGGCTACGCAGGAAACATGAGCCGGGACTGCAAGACAGCAGGGTGGAAGATCTGCTGGTGGCTGGATTGAATCATCCGTATTCTTCGTCTCGGCCCTACAGGGCTCCTACATCCATCATCCGCTCTGCGGTCCAACTACCATCAGGTATATAATTACTTGGAGCCCTAGAAGGGGGGCGCCAAAGCAGTTTCCACGTCTTTTGCATGTTCATCAATAGCTCCAAACTGGCCAGTGTTTCTTTTTCAAAGCACCTTTCACCCCAACATCTACCCTCTGACTCACTAACATGGAAGTGGAAAACCAGCTGCTTGTAGAGGTCGATGGTCCATTTCCAGTAGCCAGGACGTCCCTTTTCCATTGTTTGTGTTCGTCGGCGGAGCGTATATCTGACAAACCTTGTCAGCGTCGATCTCTCTTTTCATGTGGCTTTTTCGCACCTTTCATCACCCCCAACATCGTCATCAATCCCCTATATCAATCACCTTTCATCACCTTTCATCAATCCCCTATATCAATCACCTGAGCCTTCGATCTGAAGACCCTGACCCACCCGTGGCCATCCCTCTCCAGCGCTCCTCCGCTCCCTCCGCCCGCAGCCGCGCCAGCGCCGCGCGCAGGTCGCCCGGCAGCGGCGCGGAGGCCGTGTGGGGGCGACCCGCTGGGTCCTTCGAAGAGATCGAGGAGGGGATGAGGGTAGGTAGTGGACTCAAATTGAGGAGGAAGTGGTTTGTTTTCCAATTTAGAAGTTTTTTTTGCGAAGGACTCATGTACTGTACTGTAAGAGGATCTTGCACTTGCACGAACTTGCACTTGCATTGAGGCAAACGGTTTGGCGGAAGAAGAGACGTTCGATGGTACAGGAGTCAACATGAGTCAACTGAAAGTCTTTGAACAGAGTCAGGCAAAGCAACAAGTCAGTCTCGTGATTCGGCGTGGGTTTTTCGTTGGACGTTCGATCTTGCACTGGTGCAAATAGCAGCTAGTCCTCGAGTCCTCTGGACAGGGATAACAATCTCCTAAAGCGTTCCGCAACAGGAACATCCTGGTCCTTGTGTCGTTTGGGGTGCTGTTTGGTCTTCTTCCATCCGGCGCAGTACTGTTTGGAACTCGCAGCATGGAAGGACCAAAGCGAACTTTTGAAGGCTTTGTCTGGCGGCTTCAGGCTTTTTCTGGTTCCTGTTCAGATAAACATGTTGGTCCTCAGCATCCTCTGTCAGTTATTTTTCTTCAGGCCTTCTTGGGTCAATGGGCCTAGTCAGTGACCCCCACCAGTCCATCTGCACTGGACTGGTCGATTCCAACTGCCCCCTCCATCTCCTGGAAGCGTAGCTGGAAGCGATGCAGGAAGTTGCGCGGGCACCAACGCAGGTCCTCCGCCGCGAGCGCTCCACCGTATTTGGTGTCGGCGACGGTGGGGTGGCCTCGCAGGATGTGGCGTGGCGGGCCACCCGGTCCGGCAGGTGGGGAAGTGGGCGATGGTGCCATTCAGCAGCCATTATATATCCCAATACACTCCATGTATGGAATATTTGCTTACATGATCTTACATTGACCCTCCCACACCACCCCAACTGATCGGCATATATGGCATACATGGAGTGTCTGGGTCTTGCTGTACATACTATACTGCAGGAAAGTCTATGAGGTTCGAACCCCGAAATTCGTGAGTAGCGGGTACCGGAATTCAACTTCAATCAGTCCAGGTGTTGTTCGACCTCCATACATACAGGATCCTGCGGCGAGGCGGCTTTGAAAGCAACATATTGTGATGAAGATAGCTGGGTGATGCGGGTATCGATCCATCACTGTCTGGAATGCAAGGACGGGTGATGCAAGGACAGGACGGATTCAAGGGAACTCGGCAATTTGCAAAGCCTGCAGTATCTGAGTTCCTTGATTCCTCCACCTCACAGGCTCCTAACTAGTAATGCAGAAATCAAAGAAGCTGGACGTGTTCATGCAAAAATAAGATAAACATCCCCGCGCCGCGCGCCTATGTGCTGCGCATGGACTCTGATTTGATGAGTCCTTCCAGTTCGAATGACCACTATGAGCAGGGTGTACTTCTCGGTGCCCCGGGATAGCAGCAGCAACGGCTGAAAGTGAGTCCAGGCAGGTTTGCCTGAAGCACTGACCTGAAGCACTGAAGTCTGAAGCACAAACAGGAAAACCTGGTGTTCATTCAGCCTTATTTGAAGGCCACATGACACTACACCAGCTCTGGCCATCACATTCCTTGCAAAGTCATGGAGGCCAAAACATGTTTGCTTGACCAAACAAGAATCGGCCATAGATGACTGAAGTTGCAGTCTTGTTCATGGAGACATTCGTTCATCATTGTGACATGTCCCGGTAAGTTAACACCTTACTAAGCAACCAAACATGAAGTGCCATTCACCTAGCTGCTCAATTTAGTAACTACAAAAGCCACTCCGTCTCTAGCTGCTTCAGGGATTGACTCTACAACGTTCCAGCCGGCTTTCCCCGGCTTGGACCATTCTCTCTGGCTCTGTCCGAGCAGCACAGCTGGACACTGGGTTAGACTTGGTCGTCTTCAGCCGCGCATTCACCACCTGCTCCTCCTCGCTTCGGAACGAGACAGGTGCGCCGGAAACCCACCAACCGTGGTTGCCGCGAGGTACAGGGCATGTCTAGCCTCCCAAGCCTATATTATTGGCTTAGTGGGCCCCCTTTATATATTATATTGATACGTGTGTGACCGTATGTGTGTTCAATGACCAGGTGGTGTTTCTGTTGGCAGTGTGAATCTGAAGTGCTTTGGCCAAGCGTCTACCACTCCGTGGCATAGGACCAAATAGTTGCGCCCCAGGTCATAGGTATCTTGCTGCCAGCGCAAGGAGAAGTAGCCTCGGAAGGTCTTGCCTCGATGCAGGTCCAGACGTAAGAGGAGCGAACAGCCGGATGAGACTGGACTCGATTAGAGTCCAGGGCCAGATGAGCTGAAGACCCAAAGATAGGACCTGCCTGTTGAAGGTCTTGTAAGTAGCAGAGCATGGGACATCCGGGAAATATCTGCACTTCTTGGCCAACAAAAACAGTGCCAAATATAGGACAAGTATCCCCCTTGGAATTAAGTGGGGTGGGTGGGTATATTGATTTTATAGTGCCAAAATGCTGCAGAAATAACAGTGACAAAGAAAATCATTTTCAGCTCTATAGAATTTGGTTCTTGATCTGGAAACTAAGTCACAGCTCGTAGGAATTTCAAGCAACCTCTATAGAATCGTAGGGCACAGGGTACTCTCGAACACATCTTTTGTGTAAAACGGGATCATAATGGCCTCTATAGAATAGCAGGCTTTGCGTTGCACAACCTATTCCTGTACCAACCTATTCCTGAATGAAGGCTACAACAATTCTATTGTTTTTGAACATGTTATATTGACCAAAGTCGCCTTCACAGCCGTTTTTGACAGCAGCTGCATATAGACAATCTATATATAGAATTGAGAACCTTGATATGTCAAATTCCATGCTTGCTTCACTACATGATCAGATTTCCATAGATTTCCTTGGATTATATAAACAGATCTGTAGATCCACACTCAAAAATCCTCTACAGAATCGAGGCTCGTACTTTCCTGTTTTCTCTTTAAAATCAGACTCTCTGAAATGCCACCTCCAACATGGGCTGCTCATTCTGGCCGAATTTTTTTGGTCATTTGGTGATGGTATCATGTATCATCATCGATTTTGTAGAGGAAATACCAAGCCCAGACACTCCATGTATGGAATATTTGCCTACATTGACGCCTCCGGCACCACCCCTGGCCGTTTTGAAGGCAGTCCGACATGGCAGTCCCATGTGTCGTGTTTGGGAAGGGGAATGGACAAGTACGACATGTTTTTTTGACTCAAACCCTCAAGGAGCGAATCTGTGTTTGAACCGACCCTCTTCAATGATCCTCCCCCGTTGCTTTTCAAGACAAAGGGTCACAGCTCCGGTCGGAGACGGCGTCATAAGTACTGTCGGAGCTTCGTTCCCACCTAACCAACCGGCGAAAAACCTGGAGATTCTCATCTTCACTTCTCACTAGATGGGTTGCTACCAGCATCACCTGCACCCGCCAGCCATGTGCTCTTCCCACCCCCACCGCGCCTACAAGGATGAGGCCGGAGCTGGGCAAATCCAAGCGATGGAGGATCCCGAACTGATGCTCCTCACCTTGGATTGCATGGAACGATCCTCGATGCTGAGCTCATACATGGCTGGAGCTCGGCTTGATTGGGAGCTCAGCCGTGCGGAGCTCCCGGCTGTCCGGATTTGCTGTTTGGATCAGGTGAGATCGGTGAGATGCGAAGTAACACCTACGCCGTGATTGCGAGAGGAGAAGCACTAGGAGAAGCACCAAGCACAAGAAGCAACAGGAGAATTAAGGGGACGAAATGATGCACACGTCCTCACTGACCAAGTCGCTGAAGATCAAGGGGAAGTCCTCCCAACCTTCCACGCCTGGCATTGGCATGATGGCTGCTTCCGTGCTTGCGAGTGTGTGGGTTGTAGGATCACCCATATGAGGAGACATACGTGAAGGGCGTGAAAATGCTTGGGGGGAGTAAGTAGTACTATGAAGACCACACACCCACTTCGTACAGCTCATGAGAAAGGAGTCTTGCTATGTTTGGGTTCCCCTTAGCCAATACCTGGCTGCCAGACCTAGCAGCCTCCAGACCGCTGCTGAGCGACTCGACTCTCGTTTGGGATCCCCGACCGTCGTTAAACACCAAGTAAGTGACACCAAGATGTGTGTGAAAGCACCTTCATGGCCTTCTTGGCCTTCTGATGAAGAGCGAAAAAGAACAACAGCTCTCCGCAAAGAACAACAGCTCTCCTCATGCAATGAACAAGTGCACAAGCTCGGCGGGTTGCATCCACACAAGTCAAGTCCACAAAAGTCTTGCGGCCCTCTACATGGTGACAGTAGATGCCAGTCGAGTTGTGTGGAATTGATGGTCGCCTCAGTGGTGAATTTGAACCACCGATCCTGGACATAAGAACTGCGGAGTAAAATACATCGTTTGTTCACATCAACACTTAACCAGACCCTAGAGATCCACGACTGGACCCTCCTGGCACCTACATAAGAGTGTCGAACACATCACCGAACCTGAGGTCCGGTACGACTGGATCCCTAAACCCGATATCCATGGATCGGTCGCTCACATCCGGTGTCTTCCGAACCGAACCATGCATCTGACCTCCGAGATCGCTCCGATCCAACGCCCCAGAGTTCGTATGGGTGCCACCGCCTCGACACGTCGCAACGGACGGGCCGGAGGATCGGACTCCGTCCGTTACGGTCCAGTCGCCACCTTCCCACTTCTGACCGTGGACGGTACAAGTGAAACCAATTGAAACCATACAACCTCCTTTCTTCCGAGCGAAGTCCTCCGGCTCTTCCCCAAAAACCATCGGACCCCAACAAAAACCATCAACCCCCCCAAAAACCTCGTCGTGCCTTGCAAGAAGCTGCTCAACTTGGCATCATGTGGCGCTGTCGCGTCGGGCGCGGTGGTGGGCGCGTGGGCGTCCACTTCCCAGTAGGGCGGCTTCCTGAGCAGCGCCATGGAAATCCCACCAGTACTACTCCGGAGAAAGGTTTGAATGTTGCCTCTCCGGACTAGAATCTTACCACTGGCGCCACTAGTAAATTTAAGATCCCCTCCAAAACAGGTGATCCATCTCAAGAAAATATTACTTTTTGGCACTGTAATTAGCTGTGGTAGGGCCCAGGATAACCAAACTGGACGGAGCAAGATGGAAATTGTGCATCAAGAACTTGAAGCTTACTTGTAGATATCTGCAGTTCCATCTCAGCATCTCTCAGCTACAACTATCTCCGATACTCCACTAAAATATTTGGGAACTCTCCACACATCCACACCCTACACTCATTAAGCAAACCCACTGACTAGCCATTGCGCCAAGCATCAGCACTACCGCCACCTCCGGCAAGTTCAGCTGCAGCACCGGCCACTCCAGCTCTTCCCGCCGAGGGAGCTCTTCGTCGCACGTCCTGGACGGCTGGTGGGCGACCCTTTCAGGAACGATATCCCCGTTCCAAGGACTGGGGACCCAGCCATGTTCGCTACAAGGCAGCAAGCAAAGGGCATCGTGACGAGGACCGGAACGAGAGCAGGGGGGCTCCTGGCCTTACTACTAGAAACAATATGAAACAATAAAGCTACTAGTAACATTCAGAACGAAGAGAACGACATGTCAAAATGGATTCAGGCTAAGGAATCACCCTCCTGGGGATGTTCATGGACTGGGGTCGCTGGGGTAGTTCAGTTGGGTCTTAAGGAAAGAGTTTGTGAGAGGCAATGCTGTGCACTTTTTCTGTGCCCAGAAAGGAGCCGGTCTTCTACGTCAACAATACCCAAAACCAGTCTCCAAAACCACCCCCCGCACATGGAAGCGCAAAAAAGCTGCCAACGCCTGCCGCTCTCTGGCCAAAATCTGCCGGAAGAGCGCGAGGAATCAAGTCTCCTACGTCACTCGCATCACCAATATGGAGAGATGAACACCATCGGTTGCACCACAGCCCTGCAGCCCTGAGTGATCTTTGGTGCGAACCTCCGCGGACAGGCATTTTTTTTGGTGTTCCTGCGAGAATCTCACAACAAATTTCTGCAGAACCTTGCTTAGAGTTTCTGATGCGCTAGTGGCACTAGTGGATTTGAATGGTTCCAAAAAGAAAGTGGAGATCCAAAGTAAGACAAATGGATAGGTCTTTCCGCATTTGTTCCGCGAATCCGATACGTGCCTGAAGAGACACTCGACGACCCCAAATGGTTCCTGGAGAACCGCCCTGAAGGATCCGATGCAACGCAACATGACCGATGCTCGTGAGGGAAAGGCAGCACGGCACCACTCAGCACTCCCAGCATTCTCGTTGAATGGTTGGGAATGACCCATGTGAGGCATATTAATGAATGAACATCTACTTAAGGGTTTGCACCAAATGTATCCAAATGTCCAAATGTTTCGTAAATTTGATAGTATATCTTGTCCATCAGACATCTAAGCCACATCAAAAGGACTCTTTCTTGCAATGCTTTCTTGCATGGACCCTGTGATGGTCCTGTCTCTTGTTGTTCACCTGGAGGAGCGGTACACCCATTGGACCCGGGCGCAATGAGATCGATCTGTGAACTTTCTTGAGCACCAAATTTCTGGGCACAAGTCAGGACTCCGACCCATGTTCTGTCTTGAGCCTCTTAGCCGGCTCATGATTAAACCAATCCACCACATCCTGAAAGCCGTGCTTAGCTGCAAGCTCCACAGGAGTTTCTCCGTCCCGAGTTCTAGCATCGCGGGCAGCGCCAAACTCCACTAACAATTGGACGACGTCCAGGTAACCGCCTCGAGCCGCCCAATGCAAAGAAGTCCAGCCGGCGACTGGGCCCAGGACTACTGCATGATCACATGTCGCTCCAGCCTGCAGCAGCAAGCGCACCATTTCCAGGTGGCCATTCGCAGCCGCGTCATGCAAAGCAGTTCCACCGCCTGAGCAGGCTTGATTGCAAGAGGCCTCAGCCTCCAACAACAATCGCACCAGTTCCAGGTCGCCATTTTGAGCTGCCGCATGCAACCCTGTATAGCCCTCTATATCAGCTGTGTTGGGGTCCTGATGCTGATGCAAACTGTTTGCAACTGCTTGAAGGTCTCCATCCTGACATGCATCAAGGAATTCCTGATCTCGACCTTCGTCTGCGGGTAGGAAGGCCAGCTTGACCATCTTCAGCACCAGTGGCGGGACAATCACCACATCATCACCAACCTCCAGATGCTCTCCGGCGTGCAAGAGCCGCAAACAAAACCTTGATCCAAATCCTCGAGACGCAAGTTCCAGCTTCAGTGCTTTGATGGTGTTGCCCCGTTCTTCCACCAGAGCTTGGAACTCCTCGTCGCTGAAGACCACAGCATTTTCACCGGATGCCGCCCAACGCACTAGCAGCGCCATCTATGTGACAGCTCCAGTAATGGAATTGGGCACGCACTTGTGATGCAGTCAAACAGGTGGATTACCTTTTGTGCGACAGCTTGTGGATCCTATCATTATCCTCCACCCTCGATGTCAATTCTACTTATGGGCCATGGGTGGTTGGTAGTTGGTTTGCGCCTAGAGTGCGTTTGGTGCCCACTCTCTGCGCATCCATCTCTGGTCGTTCCCAAAGCTCCTTGTGAACGTCATGCGACGTGATGATCGAGCTGAAGAAGCACGTCGCACCCGAAATAATCATTGAAGTGGAGCTCACAATCCCCAGACACTCCATGGGACTGCCATATATGCCGCCCACCACCCCAACTGATCGACAGTCCTATGGCAGTCCCATGGGTGGTGTCTGGGATCTGTTTGGTGTTTGAACGACAAATAGTCATCCGAAATCGGGGCAATGCCATCTACGTAGCCAGGATGACGAGGCCCGGGAGTGTCTTGTGTGCATGTTCGTCCCCTCTCTTTTTTTAATGAAGCTCTGCCTCCAGCAGCGATCAACAAGAACAAAGGTGAGAGTACAAGACACACCCTTCAATCAACCAGAACAAGAACAATTTTACTTGCTGCAAAAGGGATCCCAAGGGTTCTCAGAACCATTTCATTGACACTTGCTACTACCATCTCGAAAAAACACCTCCGGACCTATCCAGTATCCATCTTCGAAACACTCACCAATCCCACCCCACACTTCACACACATCTGCAAAAAAACAAAAAAACACATCAAACACATACAGTAACTATATAGACATAGCTCTGCTCCAACACATCCCAACGCTCATGCGGAACGAGTCTTCCTCCCATCCTTTTTGGGTCTCCAACACCGGATCCCTAGGTCGCAACGAAACAAACACAACTGACAGGCAACTGACTGGCAGTCCTACCCCAAACCATAAAATCATGGGTTTAGTCCATGGGGGACTCAGGCATTTTCGGTCGTTTCTCGGTCGAATTTGCTACGTTTTGATCATTCCAAACATCTCTCGAGGCTCCCTAGACTGAGCCTAATCGCGCGCCAAAGAATTCAGTGGCTCTTGCAAGAAGTGGAGGAATTGTTTACCCTCACTCTTTTCCCATTCAACCGGAACTGTTCAGGGTCAAAACTTGTCACTTGTGCCGATGCAGAACCAAAAAACGTGTTTATAGTTGAGCATTCAAAGACACGTCTTCATGACTGCATGAAGACATGTCCGAAGTGGTGGCCAGTGTGAAGACCCTCGTCTCCTCGTCTCCTCGGTGGGGAGAACCCCCCCCGGTTGGTTGGATTCTCAGCACCCAACGACAGGTTATTCATCGAAACAACCATGTCAACACGTAAGTGGTCGCGTCGCTGTCGACGAGATCGTAGTCTGGGAGCCCAATCCCAGTGCCACCATCGATGCTGATTCGGTTGGCCGACATCTCTAAACTATAGTCATACCAGGACCTTCAGTACGTGACCTCTTTGGAGTCTGGACAGTGACCTCTTCAGGACGAGGACGAGTTGCGACCGACCCGCCAAGGTCGAAACGAAACAGGGCGGTCGCGAACCGACCAACCGACGGTGACAGGTGTACCATCGACTGGGCCTAAGTCATGTTTCACATCACATCAGGCGCGCGCAAGCACCATCGTTGGCAACGGAACGATCCACAGACAGAGACGACATCGCCAGTGGCGCCCAAGGCGTAGTGCGTGGAGAAACCGCGCGGGAAACCGTGCTGAAAACGAGCTGCGGGTCCTCAGCCACCATTGAGAGGTGCGGTCCAAGGCCTCTGCCACCTCCATCAACGTGTTGCGCAGCAACGTCAACAGCGCCCCCCTGGGCCCATCGCCATCACCTGCTGTCGCGACAGGTGCGCATCATGGGCCATGGAGACATGAGACCATGTAGACTGGGTCCAAGGAGATTGGACAAAATTCTTCCGGGCACAACCTTCTGAAAGCTTGAAGTCCAAAATTAAGATCAATTTGCAAGAACTCTCATCCTTCCCTCATCCTATTCATCCTCCAAAAATCGAGGTATTGCCCTGCGAACAGCAAGTTAGTTTAACTTGAGTTCAAATCAAACACTCTATCTGAGCTACATGAGCTGAACAGCGTTGGTGAACACCCTCACAGATTCCCCCGAACACATCCTTCAAATTCCTTGCAGTTCTTGGGTGTCCTTCGTTCGCCCAGCCCTCGTCCCCTCGCCCCGGCCTGAGAAGGCTAAGGCCCAGGTGAGTTCCAAGATGGACGTCGCGAAATCAAAGGCCTCCTGTGGCTCCTGGGTCGGACCACGTTGTCACCACGGATTTCGGAAAAAATACCGCCTTCAAATCTGGTGCAGCCTGAAAGATCCTTTTCAGGCCCTTAAATGCTCTCAATGCATCCAGCTATCAGTTCAAGGCATTGAATGCTGGAAGTTCTGCTCGAATCCAGTGTTACTTGGAATGCATGACCATCTAAGAGCATCTAAGAGCATGCGAATCGAAATGTGCGTTTTGTCAAAACAACCAGCCCGACTGCAGGCATGCCCTCCTGCGCCGTCTCCTTTTGCACCTGGCTCAGGTGTGGATGGAAGCTGAAAGCAAAGAACTATATAAGTGTCATGAAGTGTCATGAATTTGCTTGAAAGGTCTGAGTCTGCTCCATCCCTCCCCCTATCCCATCATCTGCGCAGAAGAACACACTGACACTCGTCTTTGGGCCCAAGCTGTTGGCTTCCCCAGCTTCCTCCCAAGCTTTTGGGCCACGGCGGCGGTCCACATGACGCGGTCCACATGACGGCGGTTTTCGGCGACGAGCTCCTCGTGCATTTTCGGGGCTGTTCAATGCCCAGATGTTCTGGTTGTGTGAGGTGTTGTGGTCTCCAATCCCCAAACAAACTTGCAGCCTTGCAGCCTTGCAACCTTGCAGGTGCAGAACCCCAGCAGCCTTGCCAGACAACTTCATAAAAGTGGTCTCCAATCCTAAAAAAAAGGGGTGTCTTGCAGCCTTGCAGGTGATCAGATTCCACTGAACTCCAGCCATGGGTCCTCTGTCCGGTGATACTCACTTCGGCTCGCCTGGCAAAGCACTTGCGCCAGCTGCTGGGGCAAAGTCTTCTGCAAGTGCTGCTCTGAGATGGTGAGCAGCTCCTCTGGAATCCTTAGGAAGGTTGGAGGCTTCCAGAAAAAACGAAGACTTGGTGAAGCTGAGTGGAGGCGAGGTGAAGCTGCGGGCTGCGGTGGAGGTGGTGCCCAGGGGGACACCACCTCTCCTTGTGAGCTATGGTGGAATCCTTGGGAAGCCAAGCCCTGAAGGCTCACCTTGGCGCTATGAGGATACTAGTACAGATGCTATGGCCAAGGTGTTTCCTCTGTCAAGGACGGCCAAACATCCTGTGTGCCATTGAAGACTCAGCCAGATGATACTCTTGAAGTAAGCACCAACCCCTGTGTTCGATCGCACCAAGTTAGTGATTTTCTCACCTTCTGCGATCAGAAGAACAAGTGCCACGTCATCCGAAGGTTCTTGAACTTCCAACTGTGCTTCCAACTACCTTTCGATGTGAGGCCGGCCTACTAGGCGGAGTACTCGTTCTCAGGTACCCTCACACCAAACACCACTTAGGGTGAGTTTTTGGGTGAGATCTGAAGTCTAACTCTGACTCTGACTAAGAATGTCACTCATGTCGCATCATTTTGAGGTGGATCCTCCATTGCTTTGCACGAACATCTGAGGTGATTCCTAAAAGAGCATGTCTCCCTTGCAGGCGGAAATGCTTCCACTAATTCAGAAAGGCCAAGATTCGAGAGCTCCAAGGTGGGGAAGGACCAAAGCAAGTTCGAGATCTCTTGCAAAGCTGATCTGTTTGGCAAGATGCGTTTTCCCACCTCAGAGACATGCTGCCACCAAAGAGACAAGACCCTCTTGTAGATGATTCAACTTCCCATGGCATAGAATGGAGGTTGATTCAACATCAGGGCATAAGGTATCCAAATACACACATGTGCCTGGTGCCTTGTCTTAAACGGTTAAACCGTAACCTGGATTGCATATAAAATTTTCATCTTCAGTAGTTTCTTGTGCTGCGAGTTGCCTGTGCCTTTTGGAAGCTTGTCTGCTTAAGGTCCTTTCCTTTGCTGAAAGCCGGTCTTCAAGAGATCTCTTGAGTTGGCTTCTTGCTGGTTTCGTGCGCTTTCTGTGCCAAATGTTTTCGTGTCAACTCATTTACACCTGCACAGTGCCTCAAAATTTATGCTCTATGCAGTGTCACCACAAGCTTAAGCAACCTTCCGCAACTCACTCTTATACTTGTATGCACACTGCCTCTTATGAGCAGGCCTTACGTGTACCTGCGCATATGATCGACTATTTTCAGACCATGCTCACCTCTCTTCAGACACCCATCCACCAAGACGGGCGATCTGCAGGAAAACCACTTTTCCAGGCTAGCTGAATCCCAGTCGCCAAACGTAGCGCCGCCTCTGCAGCGACCTTCGGCATCAAAGCCAGCAGCGCAGGTGTGGGGCTGCCGAGGGTGGCGATGGACCAGGTGGTCATGGCGAGGTTTTGAAGGGTGGCCTCCTGGATGCGGACCGAGGCCACCCTGCTTCGGTGGACCAACATGTTGAAGAGATATATGATTGTTGAAGGATATATAATATAGCTGTTTAAGAAGTCAAAGTGTTTGATTCATACAAGCAACAACACATTCCAACCATTTCTTTTTTAACCATACAACGTTGACGGCCCACTGCTATACTGGTAGGTCTTCGCAATTCTGTTCTCGTGTTCCTATTATTGTAATCATGCTTAGCTGGGTGTGGGCCTTTGTTCAATCTCTTTAAGAATGGGGAGGGCCGAAATCGGATATGGCACCTGCCCAAGGTGTTCGAGCCAACACCCATGGGTCCATCCGAGTGTTGCCAAGGTCTTAGGATGTTAGCTCCTGTTGGTGACAGGCCATTGTGCCATTGGGTTAGGGTGTGTCCATATGACATCATGCTTTATCGCAAACTTGATCACAGCCAACCGTCAAACAACCAACCAGCACAATAATTGATAACTACGCACATCTACTACACGTCAAAAGATCTCGCTTAACATGTCACAGTCAACATGGTCATGTCCTCAATCACCTTTGCAACAATAATATACGTATTCCAGCAGTCACAAAGGGGTGCTATCCATGGAGGTAGTCGGGGTGCCCCTGTCACATCCACTCACATAAGGGGACTAAACACCACCCCTTTGTGACTCCTGGTTTACAAATTGATGGTGGATGAGTTGAACCCCGAAAAACCGGAGTCGGTGTACACGATCCGACTATCCCAAGGCCATATATATCAGACTTGGACGATGTTCTTCTTGACATGCGCACACAAAGGCGGTGCAAGGCACCGATCTAGAGCAGAGGGCATCCCAGATCTGCCACAGCGCGTGCAATGTTTCGACTAACTTGCCCCTACCTTCTACTCCAAAGAGTGAAAGGATCCTGCCAATGGATACCGTCATGGTGTCGTGGGGCCACCATCGTGACGACGAGTCCTGTCCTGCAATGTCTGAAAGACTTGATCTGGCCACGAGCACCAAAGGCGCTCGGGCGGACGCTCCTCACGGCCGGTTGCCGAGTGGACACTTGTGGTGGGTCAGACTGCACCAACTGGTGAAGATACACGTCCCTGAAGGCTTTCGTGGATGGCACCCCCGTGGACTTGGTATTCGGACTTCAGTCTTTCCAGGGGCCGTCCGACGTCCACGTTGGCCCATGATTGCCGATCTTCACACCTCCTGGTTCCAGTCCCGATTCGGTCGATGCAAGGACGTCCTTCGGATGGAAAATCCATCAAAGCATGGCCCCAAGAATCCATAGGCAAGTGTTTTTCATTCGGAATGCCCCGGCCCCAACATCCAAGGAAATCCACGCTTGTTGCCAATGACTCTGCCATGCTGGCAGTTGATTCTATCGACCGACTTCCCTACATGGCTCCACTGGCGTCGGAAACCCTTCGGCGCGTCGTTTCACGCCTCCAGCTTGGCGAAGCTCCACATGCCATTGGCCAAATCCTGGAGCTGCGGAGCGGGGGAGAACCCCCGTTGCTACTGACTATAGAAGTTCACCCCTCATTTTATCCAGCAATTGGTTAAATAACATGACTTTCACAGACCAAAGGTCTGAACCATGGACCATATTATTTAAGACCAACCCTTGAACTAAATGAGGCAAATAATATGGGCTTTCCGTGGTTGACCACACTCATTTTAGATAGTAGCAACTGCTTATAATATGATGGTAGTATTGAGTATTTGAACTTAGAACATATATATTTATAGTTGAACAATTATCTGCTCCGGTTGACTTGGCAATTGAATACAGATCTGAATTGTTCAGATCCAAGTCAAAAGTTGCCATCTTCCAAGAAATACAGTCTTGGAGGCCTTGTAAACCTGGATCCTGACAATGGACCCAACATCAATGACTGCGCAACATGGAGACCCAACATCTGCACTTCAGAAACAAACAATGTGTAGTTCCCAGCATTGTATCTTTTTAAACAAACCATTGCTTAAGCATCATAGAATCAACTAACAAATCAGAGTGTTTCTTCTCGACTGGCCCGTGCCGCACGCTGCGACATGAACCACCGCGAGGTGAACGGGGCCTGGGCATCGAAGTGGGCGATCTGAAGGGCTGAGGCCTCTCCAATGCGTCTCATCAGCGGCCCAGCCTGTGCACCGACCGCATGGACATGGTGGGACGTGGGACGACGTCAACGGCGGTGTCGTGGTCGGTGTCCAAGGATGTGTGAAACCAGATCGTTTGGAAAAGAAACAACACAATTTGTAAGTGTCGAAACGGGGGATGGTTCATAATTATGGGAGCATGTGTTCAGTCATGTTCTTTATTTTTCCTCTCACTGTTGAGTGTTTGGTGATTTGTGCTGAACAGGGGATTTTCTGCAACCATCTGCAACCCACTCCCTAGCTTCGAAGGCTTTCTCGAGCCGGACGAAGGTGTTCCCACCATTCTTATTAGCTTCATGCAAAAAAACTTAATCGTCACTCCTGATGTCAGATCGCATCGATGAGTTGGGATTTGGGCCGGTGGCACACTTGGTCGTGGATCCTTCTCCCTCATTCGAGCTATGGTCCGACCGAAGATGTTCGCGGCACGCCCGCAGGTGAACACTGATTCAGCGGCTTGGGCGTGTTGGCGAATTGCTCCGGATCCTCATTACTGCCCTTGATTGACTTGACACCCCGCCTGGGCGCGCGCTGCGGTAAAAGCCCAGGCGCTGTTGGCCAGGTCCTGATGGCGGAACTGTCTGGACTTTGGCCACTGGCCCGGCAGTGAAATCTAAACAGCCCAAACACACCATGTAGGACACATTGCATAGTATGATGATATAATACCTATATATGTTACCTTCAACCACCCCAATGTGGATAAAGATACCACACAAGGAGTTAAAAAATCACAAACCATCAGCCAGATGATTCGGTGCCCCAAGTCGAACCAATTTGAAGCTTCTGGCTTGCCACCTCTCCCTGCCCATCTGAACAGAGTTCATGAAGTCAATGATGTCGCCATCTCGAAAAATCCCGTTCCCAAACATCCATCAATGGGTGGAGCAGCAGGACCCACTAAAAATGCAGCTATATATCCTTTCAAAAAGGTCAAACATCAGAACTAGCCTGTCGCTCTCCATGTTCCGCTCCTTTTTTTTCCTCCTCCCTTCGGTGCTGGAGGGCGCCGGACCTCCGATCCCCACGTCCGTCGCAGCGCCCCTCCACGGCGTGGTCCGGCCGCCGTCAGGTCACGGGTCCTGAGGTCCAAAGCCTTCCAGACTGCATGCGGCAAAGGCATCGAAGAGACTGGGCGAGTCAGCGAGTCGCGACCGTACCGCGACCGCCCCCGGGTGAACACGCGGATGGTGGTGGCCATCCGGCGGCGGTCGTCGGCCGGGGGGGGGTTGGGATCCGGCAACGCGTGGTTGTTTAGGTCCGGTTCCGTGCCGCGGTGGCAAACACCATGTCCCCGTCCTCCGCAAAAGAAGGCACGACTCTCCGTTAGAAAGGCAGCTGAAGAGTTTTGTATAGATGTCCCATAACTGGACCCTTGTAGGCCTGTGGATGGCAAAGATCTGCAGGATCGGCAAATCAAACATATGGACATCTCACGGAGTGTTTTGTTTTATGGCCCCTAAGAGACATTAAACGCCTTCAACGTGTATCGAATATTTGTTCTACATGGGTGTGGCCAGAAACCCTGGTATGGATCGTTCCGCGCTGCAGTGAGAGTGATCCAAACCCTATGGATCAGAGCGCTGATCCAAGCCCTATGGATCAAACCGACAAGTCACTTGATCCAAGCCCCCGACATGAACACATCTGCATGGTGGCACTTCACCCACCACTTTCTCACCAATTCACTGTGAACTGTGCAGGTGGTGGCTTCCCAGATCAAAGCCATCCTGTTTGTCCGCTGTGAATTTGGGCTCCACTGTCCACATATTGGGCATGGTTTGGCACTGAGCGGCGGCAATGAGTGTTGGGGCACATTCTTCCTCCAACTCAAGCACACGATGCAAGAAGCCCAAAAAGGCCATCAGCTGGCCACGCATATTGGTGACTCAGTGGGCTCTCAAGGCAGTTAACAGGTGGTGGCTTCAGCTCTAGATTGGAGGCTCACTCCGAATACTGGTTAGTGGCTGCCGCTAATTCTGTTTGGCCTTAATATTGTGTTCTAGCACCTTCTTTAATATGGGCTATTTGGGTTGGATTCTCCACTCACAGGGTTGCATAGCCTAATGGTAAAGGCGTCGGTTTCCAATTCTTCACTTCCACAGTGTGAGGGTTCGCATCCCCGCTGTGATCACCCTTAGTGGCTTCCGGTAATTAATTTTTGGCTGGAATGGGAAGTCAGTTTGAAGTTGAGTCTAGTGGCTTCCGCTAAATCTGTGGTGGTGGTAATGCTGGTGATAGTGGTGAGTAGCAGTGGCAGCAGCAGTAAAGCTGTTGCAGGCAAGTGCAGTGGCAGTAGCAGAAGGAGTTGTGGCAGCAGAGGTGGTTGTAGTAGTGGTTTGTAGTAGTGGTGGTTCGAGTCCCGGCTGTGACCACACTTAGTGGCTTCCGGTAATTAATTTTTGCTGGAATGGGAAGCCAATTTGAAGCTGAGTCTAGTGGCTTCCGCTAAATCTGTGGTGGTGGTAATACTGGTGATAGTAGTGAGTAGCAGTAGCAGCAGCAGTAAAGCCAGCAGCAGGTGGCAAGTGCAGTGGCAGTAGCAGAAGGAGTGGTGGCAGGAGAGGTGGTTGTAGTAGTAGTGGTGGTGGTGGTTGTGTGATCCAAGGGCTTGGATCACACACCCACCTTTTGATCCATACCCCATGGATCGAGGTATGGATCGTGTGTGGGTTTGGGTGTGTGATCCAAGCCTTATGTTTCTGGCCGTAGCCACATGTCGATTTGGATATGGAAAATCATGTGGAACCCACATGTGTCATAGCCAACCACTTTGCAAGCAGTGTTCATCTGGCAAAGTGCAATAAAACATCACATTTAAATGATTGACTCGACAATGGTTCGCCTTTATCCCCTTCAGCAGGTTCGCTTGACTTCAGCACCCTGCCAAGAGTAATAGTAAGGCTTTGAGAGTGCAAATATATCGGCCTTTTCTTGTTCTACCATCCTGAGAGCCGATGTCAAACGCTCCATTTGACTGGAATCATATCTACCTATACATCACCCTGTTCAAGCATCTCATTCTAGATCAACCAACAAACATGCCACAAACTTGGGTCGACCCAAAACAAAAACCTGGTGAGCCACAACCCACGGTCCCCCGTGAGCCGGCGCGCGAGGACCGCGCGCAGACCTCGGGTCCGGAAAGCTGCAGACTCCCAAGGACCAGGCGAGACCTGCGATGTCCTGCGAGCTCGAAGAACGCTGCGGCCCATCCGCCATCAGCGGCTCATCCCCAAAGCCAGGCTGCCACGGCTCAACAAAACTCGGTGTGGCAACAAGTGTCAATGTCCAATAAATGTATTCCAGGACCATGCGTTGGTTTCATGGAACCAGCAAAGCGGGAGGGGTTGAGCCCAAAACGCGTGGGCGTGAGTTCCCGATTTCAACCTTTGGCCTGGAGGTGGATTGTGCAGAAAAGAATAGATAATGCAATGTAGAAGCTGATGTTGTCTGAGTAACCCTCTCTTGAAGAGTTGCGGCCTTTCAAGGCCTGGGCTGACCAACATCTCTTTCTGCTAAGAGCAAAGCTTTCTGACAAAGCCTCCTGGTGAAATGCCCAACATCATTTTAGATGGACTGAATCTCCCCCCAACTGACATGGAGAAGGTCCAACTATTTCCAGGCTTCTTGTCCGGCATTGCAAGTGCAATCTAGAAACCTATACAGCCTATACACGTTTTCTCGAGCAAACCAAGTATTACTGCAAGTCATGCACCTTGCAATCAAGATTCAGCCTCACAAGCACCATGACCAAGTTATATACTGAGAACCCCAACACTTCCACAGCTAGAAGAAAACATCACTTTGAACGAAGCCAAACAAACTTGGACCGTTCGCCGCGCTTCATGACTCAATGTTGATGAATCACACCTTTACCTACGCTACCTTGGATTTGCTTAAGAAACCTGGAAGAATAGGGGAAACGTCACCTTAAGCAAAATCAGGCAACCTATAGATGGTTTGATCCAGTGACCACGGCCGCTTCCGCCGGTCCTGCGGCTGCAAGGCCTCCACCGGCCACCGGCGCGCAGCCTTCGCCAAAGCCGCCAGCAGTGGCAGGGTGATCAGCGCGGAGGTGGCAAAGGCTCAAGCAGTGTTCACCAACTCCTGTCGGAATGGTGGACCATCGAAAAAAACAACAAAAAGTATCTAGGAATAGTATGAATCCGAGAAAGACCCTGACCCCCGTCCTTTGTTTTGGTCAGTCACCTGCTTTTTCATTCCATAAATCAGGGGGTATGCGATCTCCAACATCTCGCGGCTGCTTGAGCTGTGGGTCATTTGAGAACCGCACAGGCCAGGCCAGGCCGATGCGCTTGGCTTGAAAGCCGTGTGCGGCTGCGATTTTAGAATGACTACTGGAAAAGGAGTGGTGTAGGTGGAAGTCTGAGTGCCCATTTGGGTAGTTCCAAGTCTTTCCAAAGGAGATGGAGAAAGTGAATTCCTGAGAAGCGAGGACGGCAGAATCTGCAACATGATTCAGGAAGAGACTGTGGTTGGTGGGTGACAAGGCAAGACGCACTACCAAAACTGTATGTCTCCCTTTGAAAAAGGCATCAAACAAAGACACCCGACACCTCTCTGAGCCTCTCTCGCTCTCCTGCACTTTGAACTCCCCCATGACTTGGAGACTGCGCTCGCCCAGCCGCTCCATCAAGGCCACCTGTGAGAAGACGTCGACCAAATGCGATGATGAAGACGTCGACCCCCAAAGAGATTCCAATAGATTCTCAAAAGGCTATCCCTTTGAGACTATGCGCAGCATTTGTATATCCATTTGAGAAACCCTCTATCCCTGCTACCTTATCATGGAAGGAGATTGCACTTTGGAGGAGTGGCCGGTTCGGTTTCGAACCTATCTTGCAGAGTCACCTGTACGTGTTTCAAAAGGAAGCCCCAATGGACAGAATGCTGACGCTCCTACAAGTCCAGGGGGTCACTGGGATGCTTGATCCAAACAGCTTGACGA